CAGGATTGTGTAGGGCTCAGTCCCTACTAGAACTTTAGTAATTTTCAGATGATTAGAATTATTAAATTTAGAAAAAATAAATTTTTATTTTCGTATTTACCAAATTTTGATTGTCTGGTGGCGTACGGGTAAACCTGCTACTACTTAAAAATTGAGATAAAATTCTCTATTCTTCAGGATTGTGTAGGGCTCAGTCCCTACTAGAACTTTGGTAATTTTCAGATGATTAGAATTATTAAATTTAGAAAAAATAAATTTTTATTTTCGTATTTACCAAATTTTGATTGTCTGGTGGCGTACGGGTAAACCTGCTACTACTTAAAAATTGAGATAAAATTTTCTATTTTTCAGGATTGTGTAGGGCTCAGTCCCTACTAGAACTCTAGTAATTTTCAGATGATTAGAATTATTAAATTTAGAAAAAATAAATTTTTATTTTCGTTTTTACCAAATTTTGATTGTCTGATGGCGTACGGGTGGACCTGCTACTACTTAAAAATTGAGATAAAATTCTCTATTCTTCAGGATTGTGTAGGGCTCAGTCCCTACTAGAACTTTAGTAATTTTCAGATGAATAGAATTGTTAAATTTGGAAGAAATAAATTTTTATTTTCGTTTTTACTAAATTTTGATTGTCTGATGGCGTACGGGTGGACCTGCTACTACTAAAAAATTGAAAAAAAATTCTCTATTCTTCAGGATTGTGTAGGGCTCAGTCCCTACTAGAACTCTAGTAATTTTCAGATGATTAGAATTATTAAATTTAGAAAAAATAAATTTTTATTTTCGTATTTACCAAATTTTGATTGTCTGGTGGCGTACGGGTAAACCTGCTACTACTTAAAAATTGAGATAAAATTTTCTATTTTTCAGGATTGTGTAGGGCTCAGTCCCTACTAGAACTCTAGTAATTTTCAGATGATTAGAATTATTAAATTTAGAAAAAATAAATTTTTATTTTCGTTTTTACCAAATTTTGATTGTCTGATGGCGTTCGGGTGAGGGTGCTACTACTAAAAAATTGAAAAAAAATTCTCTATTCTTCAGGATTGTGTAGGGCTCAGTCCCTACTAGAACTCTGGTAATTTTTAGATGATTAGAATTATTAAATTTGGTAGAAATAAATTTTTATTTTCGTTTTTACCAAATTTTGATTGTCTGATGGCGTTCGGGTGAGGGTGCTACTACTAAAAAATTAGAATAAAATTCTCTATTCTTCAAAATTGTGTAGGGCTCAGTCCCTACTAGAACTCTGGTAATTTTCAGATGATTAAAATTATTAAATTTGGAAGAAATAAATTTTTATTTTCGTTTTTACCAAATTTTGATTGTCTGATGGCGTACGGGTGGACCTGCTACTACTAAAAAATTGAAAAAAAATTCTCTATTCTTCAGGATTGTGTAGGGCTCAGTGCCTACTAGAACTTTGGTAATTTTCATATGAATAGAATTGTTAAATTTGGAAGAAATAAATTTTTATTTTCGTTTTTACCAAATTTTGATTGTCTGATGGCGTACGGGTGGACCTGCTCCCAATGGGAAGTAAACGATTGGTTCAATAATGGGCCATGCTTGGCGAACTCCGTTCCATTATTGGAACATTAATGGCAACCATCATTGGACCACCAATGGTTTAAACTTGGGATGATCACGCTACTGCCAATGATCGGTAGCCATGCATCGGGCCAATATTAGTTGCCAAGGAATTGCCAAGAAAACAAAATAGATTTTTAAAAGCTTGATTTTTTTATTGGCAGCCAACAAAAAACCAAGGTTTTGAAAATTGATTTTTTTTAATTATTAATTAAAATTTATTTTCAAAAAATATATTTTTCAAAAATTAATTTTAAAAAAATATATTTTTCAAAAATATATATTTTTTTAAATTAATAGAACATATTAATTTAATTTGTCACCTCTGGTAAAACAAAGATGAAAGACTGATAAATTCCCTCACTTTATATCTTACAGTGGAGGGATAACTGTGAATGTCTTTGCGAGAGAGGAGCAGGTACTTATATAGAGCCAGTGAAACAGGTCACAAGCGAGAAGAAATCACTAGCATGCACTCTGGCGGCGCTTGTCGGAAGTGGCGCAACGTTGGTTGCCAAGCGCTGTGTCGATAACGTCAGGATATGCATGCGCGCCAGAAAACAGTTCCGACAAGCGCCGCCAGAGTGCATGCTAGTGATTTTTTCTCGCTTGTGACCTGTTTCACTGGCTCTATATAAGTACCTGCTCCTCTCTCGCAAAGACATTCACAGTTATCCCTCCACTGTAAGATATAAAGTGAGGGAATTTATCAGTCTTTCATCTTTGTTTTACCAGAGGTGACAAATTAAATTAATATGTTCTATTAATTTAAAAAAATATATATTTTTAAAAAATAAATTTTTGAAAAATATATTTTTTAAAAATAAATTTTAATTAATAATTAAAAAAAACCAATTTTTAAAACCTTGGTTTTTTGTTGGCTGCCAATAAAAAATCAAGCTTTTGAAAATCGATTTTGTTTCCTTGGCAATTCCTTGGCAACTAATATTGGCCCGATGCTTGGCTACCGATCATTGGCAGTAGCGTGATCATCCCAAGTTTAAACCATTGGTGGTCCAATGATGGTTGCCAATTTTTTTGCCAAGAAAAAACCATTGGGCACCAAGCATGGCCCATTATTGAACCAATCGTTAACATTGGCAACTTCCCGTTGGGCTACTACTTAAAAATATTGATAAAATTCTCCATTCTTCAGGATTGTGTAGGGCTCAGTCCCTACTAGAACTCTAGTAATTTTCAGATGATTAGAATTATTAAATTTGGAAGAAATAAATTTTTATTTTCGTTTTTACCAAATTTTGATTGTCTGATAGCGTATAGGGTAAAAGTGGGTATTGTCGCGGTATTTTGTATTTTAATGAATATTTTAAATAATATAAAAAAATTTTGACTCTAAAAAATCACTCTTTGAACCTGACATATAAGACATTATAATTTGTATCATATTTTGGATTATTTTTGAATTAATTAATTTATTAAATATTATTTAAAATTTGTTGTCTGAAAAACGTTTAAAATGGCTCACCTCGGATTGAAATTCAACTCTTCAGTAGTGTCTAAAATTATTGTTCTTATATTATATAATGCTTTAAGAGATGATTCTTTTTTTATATTTTGGTAAATATATTGTTGTTCTTCATAAAAAAAATTTTGTTTAGTTAAAAAAAATTAATTTTGCTTCCTCATAAAGGAAGCCTTATAGTGATGTCGATTTCCGAATTTTTTAGAACCAATTATTTTTACAAATTTTCAAGTGTAGTATATATAATTCGTCGAGAGGAACAAATGTCCGGATGTATGTGTGTGTGTGTATGTCACCGATTCTTGTGGACAAATTTTCTCTTACACGTCTTGACGGATTTTGATAAAATTTTGTAGGTGTATTACGGTCACGAATACCAGAAATCAGACAAAAGGATTTTAAAAAATATTAAAAAAAAAAAAATTTTTCAACAATGTTTTAATTTTTGAAAAAATAATTTTTGGATTTTTTAAAGTAACTTTTTTCTATATTAAAATTTTTATTAATTCTTGTCAAAATTGCATTCCTGACATAAAAACGAATCGATTCATGTATATAAAGTATATATTTTGTCAAAATTTATAGAATTAATAAATATTTTAAATTTTCACAAAAAATTGAAATTTTGTATTTTTTGACATTTTATCTTAACACTTTAAAATAATTATTCTAAAATAAAAAATTAAACAATTGGTATATATTATATTGAGGAAGCTTAATGATCATGAAATGAACAACTTGTTTATTAAATATTTACAGTCACGATGATGGAGACATCTTTTTTTAACATGTGGGTATTTTCGAGGCTCGTATCATAACCCTTGTAAGTAAGGTTAGCAGTATGTCTCTAAAGATTAAAACGTTGAAATTATAGCCGATATTATTTTTCTTGTTTTAATTTATGTTTTATTAAAAAATACTTGTATATATATATATATAAAAAATTAATTTTCAACTAAAGAAATGTTGAATTAACATTGTTTTTCCATTTTGCACAGTAACTGTTAAACACATTTAAACACAACAAAAATTTCTTTTATTTGAACGTTCAGAATTTTAGTAAATCTTATATAACAGTTACAAAATACAAGCAAGAAAATAAAGAGTAATGGGAGGGACAAGAAAATTAAAGTAAGTGAGATCTGTATATTTTAGGGAAAAATTTTTAATAGCTGTAAAAAAGGAGCAAAAGTGTCAAATGAGAATTGACTGTACGTTAGAAATATTTGATAATAATTGCTTTAGAATATTTTATCACAGTATTATTTTATATTATGAGACTATTTAAATTATTATTATAATAAAACCAAGTATCTTTTATTTTTTTTTTAATTTTTTTTTTATTTTTTTTTATTTTTTTTTTATTTTTTTTTTTATTTTTTTTTTTTATCTTTTTTTTTCTTTTTTTTAAGTATCTTTTTTTTTTTTAGTTTGCTATTGAATTCGTCTAAGTAACTATTACAAAAATCCAAGAAGCAATAAATAAATTATCCGCGATATTTACCGCGCGATATTTACCGCGCGATAATACACTCATCCACGATATTTGACACACGAAAATACCCTCAAGTCATTCTAAGTCCCACGAGATTACAAGCATTTGAGTCTTCTATTTATTTATTTATTTAAATATTAAAACTATTTTCTACAACATGTATATGCATATATTTATCATTAGTTTATTATTGATTATAACCATTTTTTATTTCAAATATTACAAGGGAATAATATTTTTAACCTTTTCTTAAAAGTATTTTTATTACTTACAAAGCATAGATTTTGTGTCTAGTAAGAAATTATTTGTTTGTAAATTTGTTTATTATTAATTGATTAATTATTATTAATTATTATTTAATTAATAAAAATTTTAATTATAGTTTTGTAATAGTTTTAATAGTTTTGTAGATTTATAAAAATGAAATTACTAGAAATTTATAAATTTCCTTTATAATAGTCCTATATACAATGTAAAAATATTATAAGAAGTATAATCTGGATTATATCACATATAATCCATTTTTCTCCGTGTTAGATTTAAAATTAAACTTTTACATTAATTAAATTTTTCAAAAAGAAATATCAGTTACATGATTTTTAAATATACCAGAGATAGCTTCCTCCTCAAAAAGTAAATAACAAGTTATTTAGGCTCAAACTGTCAAATAAAAAAATGATGTTAAACTAAAATGTAAAATTCAAATTAAATTTTTCAAAAACAAGGTTGCTGGAAATATTTAATTTTTTTTTCTCTGATTTCCAGACAAAATTTTGACGATTTCCCTGATCCTAAAGCAATATTATGATCCACTCTGAAAATTATTAGATACAAATATTTTCTTATAGATTTATTTACTTACAAATTTCTTTATGTCTAAAATTTTGTTGTAAACAACAATAACTTCTTTTTTAAATAGATATTTCATCATTATTATTTTTCCATAGAAATGAAAATTTAAGAAAAATTTAATTTAATTTTATTTTTTATTTAATTTTATAGAAATTTAAATTATTATAAAACATATGTAAAGAAATATTTCTTTTATTATTTACATAAAATCTGTTAATGTCTGTTTCGTTACTCCAGTTCATCAATAAATTACATTTGGTGCTTCAATCCTGAAAATGACTTTTGAAATTTCAGGGCTTTCTTCCAATTTAGTAAACTTTTCCAGTCAGCGACGGATGCAAGTGCGAACACTGAAATTTGGACTTTGTCGATCTTGGGAGGAAATGAGACCAACTTTTCTTGCACACCGACTTCGTATTATAAGACTTCGTATTAGCTTTGGAACATTTTAGACCATTTGGTAAAATTGGAATTTTCTACCGACCCATGTTTTACCCTCATCTTAAATTTGTAAACTTTTAATTTTTCTCACAAGTTCCTATTAAGTATTTTTAAATTCTTTTTTTCGTAAATTTTAATATTAACAATTTTTTTTTAATTATTCTAACTGACGACTTTGAACTTGACGATAAAAGTAAACTCAACTAGATTCCATAATTATTGTAAGTCGTTATACATCTCGTTAAAATCTAAAATAACAATTTTCTTTTTCCATCTCACATTTAAATTTTTTATTTACCAATTTTTTTTTTTTGAAAATTTTCCCGAGATTTAAAAAACACTTTGCGAGTAAATTGTTTTTGAGGATTTTTCTTTTTGTTAAAGAGAAGATGCTTTTAGGATGAGGAAAATGGAATTATTCTTCGAATTCTCTTAATGACATGTGCTGTACATACAATGAAAATGTTATTCACGTATTTTCTGCGGCGAGTCAGTGGCTGAACACGTACGACAAATTGAAATTAAAGGACATGCATTGCACGTCTAATGCAAAACTCAATGGACGCGACGATTTCTGTTGAATTTAGAGGATTTTGCGGCAATTCCACGCGTAGAATTCTGTCTTAATGGGCTTTTAATGGGCTGCAGATGTAGAGAGCAATCGTTAGTATTTGATAAGGAAGGAAGTGGAGTGTACTGATATAATTCCTATCCATTACCGTAACAAGTAAATAAACAATTTTTTTATTAATATCTTAGTTAGTATAGATTTGTAGACCTTTTCTTTATGAAAACGAAGAGAATTGATTTTTTTAAATTGTTTATTAAATACCAATGTAACTTTTGAAGGAAGCAGATTAAAATTCATTATTCCCGTTCTACACTGAAGGGCAGAGTCCCACGACAGCGTGGCAAGACAAAAATAAATGGTAAATAAATGTTCAGACTGATCAAACACATTTAACAAAATTAGTAACAGATTAATATATAACACTGAAGGGCAGAATCTCACGACAGTATTATAAGTAAACTGTAATAAATAAATGAATAACCAATACTAAAGGGCAGAAACTCACAACAGTGTAGCAAATAAAAAGAAATAAAACAATTAAATATAATAATACGAACAAGTAGATGATGAAGAGAAAAGGACACTTAATACTTATTTCAAAGATAAGAACATCCGCAAAGGTTGAAGGGTAGTCCCAAACTGAGAGTCCTACTCGTCAGGTCAGTGACCCGTTAGAAAAATAGAGTGGGGCAGCTACCCCCTATTGTGAATCCAAAGTAATTGAAAAATAAGGTTGACTTCAATAACCGAACCTTACACTTTTTTGAGAATTAAATACTTCCCGAGTTCTTAAAATAATTATTGGAATATTGTGACTGTAGATAATTTGGTGTTCTGTTTTACCGGCAGCGGATAACTGCAATCTGTAATTTAATGATTCACTTGGGACTCACTAGATAAGAGAAGGCGCTGATGACGCCTGGTTAACAGTTTTGTCATTTAATAAAATCTCGTTTTGATTGAACTTCCAGGCAACAAATTATAAAAAAGTTCGCGGTTTTTTCAAAAATGAATTAATGGAAATAGCATTTTTGAAATGCATTTTTGCATAAAAAATAACAAGGCTAAAGGCCTGTCTGCTTAATTGAATTTTATTAAATTCCTTCCTGCGCTTATGTAAATTCGTAGAATAAATAAATACACAATGTGTATAAATCGCGTGCTACGTTATGAAACATATGTTTAGAGGAGCTGATATCAAGTTTATATCAACGACCTTATTACAAACTACACCCTTTTCCTTAGTCATTATATGTTTTCCTGAAATACGAAGCTAACTCCAGGAAGCACCATAAAAGATAAAATCAATTGACCTCTTCTTTTTCAGTATATCATGTTTAGTCTTAATATTGACGTTACCAAATATGGTCATCTGTGTTTTCCACTGGGTCCTACTTGCTAGGACTTAAAAATTTAATCAATAAATGCGTCTTGACCCAAAAAGTAATAAAATTAGATGGTGTGAGGTATAGTATAAAAGGAGGCACCCTTGCCGAATTAGTCAGTCCAGTAGTCACCTTCAAATCAGAATTCTACGACTCCAGTTCCAAAAATCTCTTCAAGTACCAAGTGCATTCTTCAAGTCTCAATCAAGTTCATTCAAGGAGAATTCATTCCAGGAGATAATTTCTAATGCGAGGCACATTTCTATTTTACTAAGGACTGCATTATTTCGACTTCAACGTCAAATCAATAATTCGACACCTGGACTCTGGACCTTTCACTTTTTGGCTGGTCCGAAAACAATTCAAGGGAAATCTACTGCATGTTCTTTTCCCGCTAGACAACGTCATTTCTTCGATCTCACACTGAAGGAGATATTGGGTCTACGAGTCTAAGAATAATATTAAAAGGTAAGTTGCTAATACCCTTAAATTTTGTCCCCATTTAAATTCTCGATTGATCCCACAAGGTTCTAATTTTGTTTCAGTATCCCTGAAGACATCTGGATCTACAACTCTCTGATTCTAATTGTAAAGGATTTAAATAAAAACTTTAATAATTTAATTTCAATTCGAACAGTTCCTCTTCCTTAAAACCTGTCCCTTAATATCAGAGTCTCGGAGCCATCCGCTCTGTGAATAAATCAGGTTGGAATCACCGATGCCGGACAAAAATAATAAATATTATAAACAAATATGGTACCCCATGGGGTCATACATTTCTTTCTTTGCTTTATTTGCTGACATAGTCTTGGATGACTTAGAAACTTCTTGTAATTCTAAACTTTCTTTTAAGTTATTATTTTCCTATAGATATGTTGATGATATAATTACCTGCATACCAAAAGATAAAATCAATGAAATAGTTGACGTCTTTAATGATTATGATGACAGACTATAGAGTTCACTTTTGGGATACAAAAAAAAGTCCATTAATTTTCTTGATATCCTCTTGTAATGAGATTAATGTCATCTTGCCACATTCAGCCAAAAAAACAAATTAGCTGTTTTTCTATTATAGGAATATTTCTTTTTAAAATTTATTATGTGAACCTTTTTTTCATATTGTAAAAGAATGTATAATTTTCATTAGCCAATCTGATGTATTCGTGGTATGTATTTTGGAGAAGAACGAAAATTTACTGCGGCCTGGGTAAACACACATACACGAGCCAGATGTGACATTTCAATCTGATTCAGCGGAGTGTAACGATCCAATGGTTGACAGTTGGCACGTTCTCTGTTCATGTGTCTTTCGAAAACCCCTAATTCCAATTTCTCTGGCCAAACTATATACATCTCTCGGCTATTATATCACTTATAGCCTCGCTCATAGCCATAACATTCTAATGAGCTAATTAGTAATTAATCAAAATTAAAAAATACTTCCTCCAAAATTTACAATTCAATAAAATATATTAAATAATACCACAACAACTCCGTAAATCTTAATCATTTATAATGTAAACTTTTCTTTTTATTAAAAAAATTATGACGCATATTAAAGTATAATTTAAAATTAATTTTGTAGGGAAAAGAAGAGAACATTTTTGCAAAATTTAAGTAAGAGAGTACGGAATACTAAATAGAGTAAAATATCGTAAAATATCGCAAATGCAAACATGAGAACAGTAGTATTTCTAGAAAAATTAAATTTTGAATAGAAAATAAAATTTCAAATTGAAAATATCCAATCGGAATGGAATATTTGAAAATATAATATAAATTCTATATAGACAAAGTGGAAAATGGAGAATGCGGAAAAGGAATACAAATGACGAATATCATCTTCTTCGAAATTTATTGTACACTGTGATTGAAGAACAGAAAGTAGGTTACTGCGAATTATTTAAGTTGCTATCTGTTCTTCCATGAAAGATAGAAAGGTCAATATCTGAAGGAAGACGCTTCGATTTAACGGTAATAAGTATCTTTTCCGTTGAATTGTAAAAGTTTAAATAGCACTAGTAGATAGTCGCTTGATAAAATATTCAAAGAAAAAATCTTTTTTTTTTATAAAAATATAACCTATTATTTAGACATAAACTGGTAAATATCTATCCGCTAAATAGTTTTGATAACTTCCAATATTGTTCATGACAATATTCTTTATTTTATTCTTTCATTGCAAATCATGCCAAAATGTTCAGTATCGAACCGCACAGATTAATTATTACTGTATTTTAAAGATTTTTGTCAATTGTTATTTATTTATTTATTTATTAATAAACGGGACCAAGCCCTTTTGTATTTTTGTACTCTTACAATCTAAAGTTGAATATACAACCTATACATATTTGTTTTAACAATAAAGCTAGGTGGCTGGTAAGTAATTACTAAAATTAATAACTTATTTTGAATTCAAATAGCCATAAGTTTTCTTGTATGCAAGATATCAAGTTCCGGTTTCTAACAAAATAAAGCTTGACTCTTTCCCTAACTTTTATCTCATTACGAGTATAGGCTGGGATAAATATTTGAGAACTTTTTTACGATTTTAGGAATTTGATGTTTTCATCATGTAAACTTGTTTTAAATTAAAATGGCCATAAGTTTTCTTGTATGCAAGATATCAAGTTCCGGTTGGTACCAAAATAAAGCTTGACTCTTTCCCTAACTTTTATCTCCTTACAAGTATAAGTTAGGATAAAAATATAAGAACGTTTTTTATGATTTTAGGAATTTGATATTTTTAACATGTGAACTAATTTTATATTCATTTGACCATAAGTTTTCTTGTATGCAAAATATCAAGTTCCGGTTTCTAACAAAATAAAGCTTGACTCTTTCCCTAACTTTTATCTCATTACAAGTATAGGCTAGGATAAAAATTTAAAAACGCTTTTTATGATTTTAGGAATTTGATATTTTCAACATGTGAACTAATTTTATATTCATTTGGCCATAAGTTTTCTTGTATGCAAGATATTAAGTTCCGTTTGGTACCAAAATGAAGCTTGACTCTTTCCCTAACTTTTATCTCATTACGAGTATAGGCTGCGATAAATATTTGAGAACTTTTTTTACAATTTTAGGAATTTGATGTTTTCATCATATAAACTTGTTTTGAATTCAAATGGCCATAAGTTTTCTTGTATGCAAGATATCAAGTTCCGGTTGGTACCAAAATAAAGCTTGACTCTTTCCCTAACTTTTATCTCATTACAAGTATAGGCTAGGATAAAAATTTAAAAACGTTTTTTATGATTTTAGGAATTTGATATTTTTAACATGTGAACTAATTTTATATTCATTTGGCCATAAGTTTTCTTGTATGCAAAGTATCAAGTTCCGGTTTCTAACAAAATGAAGCTTGACTCTTTTCCTAACTTTCATCTCATTACGAGTATAGGCTGGGATAAATATTTGAGAACTTTTTTTTACGATTTTAGGAATTTGATGTTTTCATCATGTAAACTTGTTTTGAATTCAAATGGCCATAAGTTTTCTTGTATGCAAGATATCAATTTCCGTTTGGTACCAAAATGAAGCTTGACTCTTTCTCTAGCTTTTATCTTATTACCAGTATAGGCCAGGATAAATATTTAAGAACGTTTTTTATGATTTAAGGAATTTGATAAATTTGATAAATAAAATGTTTATTTGCCAAAACTTTGCAAATAATTTCTTATCTATATTCCTGGATACTATGGTAATAAAAAATATTTTTTTCTTCAAAAAATTATTGTTATTTTTATGTTTTTTTCATGTTCCTAAAGATAAAATAATTTTTTTTTCTTCGTGCAAACACATATATGAACTGAATAATATTCATTCGTACGTCAAACATGGAGTTTCAAAGAAAAATTTTGTTACTTTTAATTTTGGCAATTTTTTCTCCTAAACAAAATGCAGTAAGTAAAAATAATATTGATAACAATTCTTAGAATATTATATTTAACTAATTCATGTCATGTAAATTTTAACATTCTTTTAAAATTGTACTGCCTTCCTTTAAAAAAAAAAATATTCAATTTCAATACAAAATTAGTCCAAAAATTTATTATTTTAAGCCTGGAGTCTTTTTTAGGCTGCAGGAATAATTATTTTACTTTAAAGTGTAATAAAATTAAATATAATTATTTTAATTCAAATATTAATAACTTTTGAAAAGTTTTCTTTTTAAATTGTTAAAAAGTTTTTGTCAAAATTATTTTAATTTAAATCCAATATTGAATGTAAAATATTAAATATTAACATTTTGAGAATAATAGTGAAAAAAATTATTTTTCGCAGTATATTAAACAAAATTAAATTTTTTTAAAATAAATATTTGCTCGAAATAACGAAATTATAATAAAATATGAAAAATAAAGTAATAAAAATCGTTGCACAGATTGCAATAATTTATTTTTTAATCTTAAAAAAAAAATAAATATGTATATTTTACTTATAAAGTAAAAGATAAATTTTATATTAGAAATTTAAAAAAAAATAATCTTAAGTTTTTATTTTTTTTTCTATGTAGAAATAAAATTATTTTATAGTTCACCTTTATATATGCTATACACGTGTATCAATAAGAAAATTTATTTGTAAAATCCTTGAAAAGAATTTATTAAAAAAATTTTTTTTCACATATTTTTTATTCGAAACGTTTTTTAATAATTTTTTTCTTTTAAAATTTTTAAAACTCTCTGGTTATCAAAATATTAAAAGTTTATTAGTTAATGATAATTTGTGAAATTGAATAACACATGATTTGAAAAAAACCAGTAAAAAATTTATTTTCTGCTCTTTTGAATATTAAATCGAAGATCGTGAAAATAATTTTATTTTCCTTTGAACAATTTTTTTTCTATCACAAATTTTATTGAGGAAAATAATAATTTTTTAAATCGCATTCAAAAATAATATTTTCTTGTTTTCTATACGGGAGTATAACACAAATCTTTTATTATCTTTCTGAAAAAATTTTATAGATTTGTAAATTAATAACAATTTTTTTATAACAATTAACAATAAATAAACAACAGAATGTTTTTCTTAAATTTACAATATAGCAAAATATAAAGTAAAAGTTAATATAATTTAGCAAAAATGTCTACTCAGGGCCTTTTGGGGTCACTGATTATGACTCCGACGTCAGTTTTTAAAAATACAAAATGGCGGATCCAATATGGCGGATGAAAAAATTTTAAACTTCGAGCAAAGCTCATGAAAATTGCTATTCAGAGGTTTTCAAGGTCACTGATAACGAATCTGATGTCAGTTTTTGAAAATAAAAAATGGCGAATCCAATATGGCGGACAAAAAATGAGAACTTGTTGGATTTTAAAGACAAAAATTACTTTTTGTTTGTTTTACTATTAGCATCAGTTATTTGTTCAATATTTTGTATTTTATAAAATAGATCTCGGATTCGTAATTATTCTGATTTTTTAATTTTTGTTTATTTCTAGTTATTTGTTTATAACAAAGTATGAAATAAAGTTAAATAAAGTTTTTAACATTTAAACAATTTTTAGGTACATTAGAAATCATATTTTAATATTCCTGAAGTAAAAAATTTTATTAAATAAACAATACAAAAAAATTAAATACAAAAATAAAGAGAATTGTGTAAATAGTTAACAATAATTGTTTAAACAAATTAATTACCTATGTTTTTTGTTAAATTTTATTTAAAAAAATTAAAATTTCGATTTCTCTTTAATCTTGAAATTTTTTTCTATTTAAAAGAACTAAACTAAAAAATGTCTCTTGCAAATGATAATTTTTATAATTTTTTAAACAAATTATTATAATATTTTTAACTTTTAATAGAATCAAGACACTAATTTATACTTTTTTTCTTGATTTCTAAATTTTATATTAAGAAATTGTAAGAATATGTAGCTATAAACAGAATTTCCTTATATTTAATTTTGAAATTGTTTCAACAAATTATTTTTGTTATTTAAAAAAAAAATTGAAGTGGCTTAAATAATAAAAATTTCATTTTTTTTTTAATTTTTACATTGTTTATAAACATACTGTATAATTTAATGAGAGTAAAATTTAAATTCGGATAAAAATAATTTATTTAAACAAAATTTTTTATGGATGTAGTTGATCATTTTTTTGTTTTTTTTAAAATTTTTTTTAATTTAAAAAAATTATTTTATATATAAATAAAATGCTAACAGTAATTTCTGTTAATAAATATATTTGCTTGCAATTAAGAGATCAGACGACATTAGAAATATATTAGATCTTCGTTAGTTAGAAAATTTTTTTTTAATTTAAAAAATTTTTTCTTTTTTAATTAAAAAAAATTTTTTTTTTAATTTTTAAAAAAATGATTAAACATTCAATAATTTTAAAAAATTATAATTTCCAAGACATATTTTTTAAGTTTAGTTCATTTAAATAGAAAAAATTTCAAGTTTAAAAAAAACCGAAATTTCAATTTTTTAAAAATAAAATTTAACAAAAAACATAATTAATTTGTTTAAACAATTATTGAATATTTACAAAATATTCTTTATTTTTGTATTTAATTATATTTAATCATATCCTGAGTAAAAATGTTCAAAAATGTGTAGAAAAATATAATTTTGTTGATTAATGGTTAAAAAAAATTACAATTAACAATATAAAAAATTGTTTAAACAATTTAAAAATTTATGAAATTAATTTTGAATGTTTATATGTTAATTAATTATAAAATTTTGGTGAAAAAAACTCGAAGAAATATATTACAAATTGAATTTTTTTTTAATTATGTCCTTTTTCCAAAAGTTAATTAATCAATTAAATTTTTATTTAATAAAAGTAATTATATAAAAATTGTTTACTTCAGGAATACTAAAATATGATTTTTAATGTGGTTAAAAATTTTTTAATTGTTAATAACTTTATTTTATATGGTAACATATCGATTTTTTCATACTTCGTTATAAACAAATATGTAAATATAAATAAACAAAAATTAAAAAATCGGCATTGAGGAATCGATAGAGAATTTAGTAACGAAGATTGTAAAAAATTTTTTTGGTTAATTTGAATGAAAATGGTGACCTCTAGATTAATTTATGACACATAAAGTACGTTCGCGTTCGGCTGCCACTGTGCGCCATATTGGATCCGCCATTTTGAATTTTGGAAAAAGGACTTCATATTCGTAATGAGCTGGCCCAAAAACCATTAAGCATTTTTGATTTTTAAATAAGTGATGTAATGTAATGTGTAACACAAAGGGTTTAAGAGAAATTAATATTATAAAAAAAAAAAAAAAAAAAAAAAAAAATTAGACTTGTTTTTTAAAATGTATATTTTATAGGCAGAACAAGGAAGGGCGAGCAGTGCACCCTTTGATGAGAATATCTGTTCTTTATACGACAATACAAAGTTAATTGACGATTTGCTCTTCACACAAAACTCAAAGCCTTTGGTAATAATTATTGCTGATAACATGATTCATGGCATTCAAAGAGCTAAGGATTTGTCACTGGATAGAAGAATATTTAATAACAGACAGAATAGAGATAACTCTCAGTTTTATGAAAAAATGATGGAAAAAATTTATCTCTATGAATCAAGAGAAATTTCCTACTTTGTCTATCCTGTAAACATGAGAAATAATTTATTGACAACATACTGTCAACGAAAGCTTATAAACGATAGTTTTAGTGTAATGTTTCATTTTCTTAATTCAATGAATGAGTTTCCTTTTGTTGAGGAAATTTTCATTCCACTAAAACCACACTCAATGTGCACGAAACATTGTACTTTTATCGAATATATAAAAGAAAAAATGCAGATTGGTGAAAATTTCTTGGAATTATTCGAATTAAGGAAAAGATTGTTCAGCGAGGAGGGAAGAAAGCATTTTTTTATCAGAAAAATTGAAAAAATCGATTTATCACTGTTTTATGAAAATTCATTGTCTCAAAATGAAAGTTCGATGATTTTTTTTAATTCGTTATTAGTGGAAATTCAAAATTCTCCCTCCAACAGTTTAAAAGAAAATGGAGAAAATAGTAAAAGTCTTGAATGCTTTCAAACGAGATGTTTACATCAAAAGAATGATTTCTTTCAACATTCACATTCTGCTATGAAACATTTACGAAATATTTTAATTTTGATTGAACATTTAAATTTGCTGAACAGTACGATATTTTCGTTGGATAGCAGTGATGCTTCATTTGAAAATTTTTGCAACATGATTCATTATTCGGATGTGATTAAATTATTTTGCTTCATAAAGGATTTATCTGACGCTACATCCCTGAACATAGAAGCGTGGATAAGTAATTTAAAATTATTTGCAGCGAATTCATTGATTGGCAAACTATCATGGTTCAACAGATTGTTAGCATTGTATAAAAATCAATATTATTTGGATGAAAAGTTCATTGAAACAGAAAAGAAAGAACTTTCTACACAAACAATTAATTTTGAAAAAAGTTATGGAGATTGGTTTCAGTTTACCTTAGTTTCTGTTAGATCTCTAATGGTGAGTAAAAAAATTAATTATTAATTATTAACTGTATTAATCTCCGTATTCATTCATTCTGTCCGCAGTTTTTTTTTTTTTTTTTTTTTTTTTTTTTAAAGATATTGTTTGGCAAATCGAAAATATGCAGGTATTTTTTATGATTTACAATAAAATAATATTAGAAATTAGAAAATTAAAAAAAAATTATGACTAACAAATAAAAAATATACCCATTTTGTTTGTTATATGCTTTTTCTATAACAAATTTCGTTTGACTGATCTAAATTATTATGCAAATTATTCTCCATTTTATTTATAAAAAATACTAGAAAATTGTTAATTGTTAAAAAAATTTTTTATTAATTGAAAATGAAACTGAAAATTTTTGAATTTTTAGAAAATAAAGGAAAGTCCTGTGAAATTTTTATTATTTATGAAAATATTTAAATGTTTGCGTACAATTTTATTAAAATTGTTTTCAAATAATTGAATTCTTTTTAGGTAATTTTATTAAAATTTAAATAAAATTACACGAAAGAATTTAATTATATTTTCAAAAATTTACATAAAATTGAATTTCAACAAGAATTAAAAATTTTCTTAAAAATAATTCAATTATTCTCAAAATATTTTTAAAAAATTCTATATAAAAATTAAATTACTTTCAATGCAATTTTTACATATATTCGTCAAAAAAATTGAAAGAATTCAATTATTTTTAAAAAATAATAAAATTCTTGTGATGAATTAAACTATTTTGACTTAATTTTAATAAAATTCTTTAAAGAAATTCAATTATTTTCGAAACAACTTATTAATTTAATTTCTCGAAAAAATTTCATTATTTTCAAATATTTCTATAAAATTCTTCATAAAAATTTAATTATTTCTCAAAATTTTTAAAAATTCTTCGAAACATTTCAATTATTTTTATAAATAGTAAAATTTTTCGCAACAATTCAATTATTTTTATAAAATGTGTAAAATCCTTTGCTGAAATTCAATTCTTTTTCAAAAGAATTTTAATAGAATTTCTCGAAAGAATTTAAATTTTCAAATATTAACATAAAATTGATGTACCTATTTTCTAAAATTTTAATAAATTATTCTTCGGAACAATACAATTATTTTTATAATTAGTAAAATTCTTCGCAAGAATTCAATTATTTTCAAATACAATTTTAATAAAATTCTTCTTCATAAAATTCAATTGCTTTCAAAATTGTCAATTAAAATTATTAAAAGAAAAAAATTCCATTAGTTTAAAAGAAATTCAAAGAAATTCTTCAAAAGAATTTAATCAGGATTTTAAAAAATTTTAATAAAATTCTTCGCGAAAATTCAGTTATTTTTCTAAATAATAAAATTCTTTGAAGGAATTGTATTATTAACAAATTTTTTGATAAAATTCTTTGCAACAATTCAATTATTTAAGAAATTTTAATAAAATTCTTTCCAAGAATTCAATTCTTCTCAAAAATAAAATTTTTCACAGGAATTCAATTATTTAAAAAGAAAATAATATTCTTCGTCAGATTTCAATTATTTTTAACTTTTTAATGAAACTTCTCAATAAAATTTAATTATTTTTAAAAAGTTTTAAAATAATTCTGAGAAATTCAATTATTTAAAAAAATTTTGAAAAAAATACTTCCCAAGAATTCAATTTGTTTCCAAAATAAAATTTTTCACATGAATTCAATTATTTAAAAAAAAATTTAATAATATTCTTTGTCAGATTTCAATTATTTAAAAAAAATGTTATTCTTCGTCAGATTTCAATTGTTTTCAATTTTTGAATGAAATTTTACGCGATGAAATTTAATTATTTTCAAATAGTTTTAAAAAAATTCTGAGAAATTCAATTATTGAGGAAATTTTAATAAAATTCTTCCCAAGAATTCAATTCATTTAAAAAATAAATTTTTTTACATAAATTTAATTATTTAAAAAAAATTTAATAATATTCTTCGTCAGATTTCAATTATTTTCAATTTTTTAATAAAGTTTCTCAATGAAATTTAATTATTTTAGAAAAGTTTTTAAAAAATTCTGAGAAATTCAATTATTTAAAAAAATTTGAAGAAAATTCTTCCCAAGAATTCAATTTTTTTCCAAAATAAAATTTTTCACATGAATTCAATTATTTAAAAAAAAATTTAATAATATTCTTCGTCAGATTTCAATTATTTCCAATTGTTTAATGAAATTTCTCAACGGAATTTAATTATTTTCAAAATTTCTGAGAAATTCAATTATTTAAAAAAAATTTCGAACAAAATTCTTCCCAAGAATTCAATTCATTTCAAAAATAAAATTTTTTTTCACAGGAATTCAATTATTTAAAAAGAAAATAATATTCTTCGTCAGATTTCAATTATTTTTAACTTTTTAATGAAACTTTTAAATGAAATTTAATTATTTTCAAAAAATTTTTTCAAATTCTGAGAAATTCAATTATTTAAAAAAATTTTGAATAAAATTCTTCACAAGAAATAAATTATTTTCATAAATAATAATATTTTTCTCCGAAATTCAATTATTTTCACAAATAAAATTCTTTAAAAAATTTTTTTAATAAAATTCGCTGCAAGAATTCAATTATTTTCATAAATAACAAAACTAATCGCAAAATTTCAATTATTTTTTACATAATTTTAAATAAAATTATAGAAAATTGCATTTATTCTTAATATTTTTTTTTTCAAATTCACCGAAAGAATTCAATTATTTTTTAAAAATTTTTGATAAAATTCTTCATAAAAATTTAATTTTAAAAAATATTTAATTATTTAAATAATTGAAATAATTGAAAAATTTTCTACTAAAAAATGAATTTTACTTAAAATTTTAAATTATAATTGAATATTAATAGCATTATAGCGTTAATTTTTTTTTTAAATAATTGAATTTTAAAGAGGGTTCAAATTAAAATCTTTGAAAATTTGAATATTGTTACTGTAACTTCATCAAAATTTTCATAATTTTAATTCAATTATTAATAATTGAAAGTAGAAACATTTTTGAAAATAATTGAAATTATAGGAAAAGAATTTTTTTTTTTTTTTACATTTATGAAAATAATTGAACTTTGTACAAGAATTTTGTTATTTATAAAGATAATTGGAATTTTTTTTAAATTTTGAACATATAGTTAAATTTTATAAGAAGAATTTTCTTTTTCTTTTTAAATAATTGAATTTCTGCAAATATTTGTAATTTCTTTAAAATTGAATTTTTTTTAGTGTTTTCAACAAAAATTTAAATTAGAAAATTTGTAAATTCTATTATTTTTTAAAATTTCTAATTTTATTTAAAAAAAAGGCAGTTAGCTAGTTGCTAGTTGGTTATTTAAAAGGTAATAAGCATAATATAGTTATAAATTAATTTATAAATTAATAAAAATAATTTTTTCCAGGAAACAGAATATTCCGAGACGAATCATGAAACATTTGAAAATATCAGTGTGTTTTACGATTATTGGGAGACAATTGATGAATTGATTTTTGATGTGGAAATCGAGAAATTAGTAATAATTTTAACTGATGATGTTGCAAAAGGAATTCATGTTCTTGAGAAAATGACAAACAATAAGAGGGTAAAACCGAAAAAAAATCGAAATGATCTTCATTATACGGAACAATTCCTGTACGATATAATAGAGAAGAATTTTCATTTGTTTCAATCCAGTGATACTTATTACTACGTCTACCCCACTCAACTGCAAAACGATATGTTTATGTTTTACCTTCATTTTATGATATTTAAAGATTATTCCAAAACCACATTCCATGTCGTTAAATTTGAAGAAAGTTTCTCCCCTTCAGGAGATAATAGTTTTACTGACACTGTCATTCCAGCGATAACAAATCCAAGTTGTATTCAACTTTCAAAATATTCCACGAATATTCCAAAAATTTTCCTAAATTATTATTTACTGCAAAAAATAATTTATTTCTACGATTCAAATACTTTCAGAAAATATGCTGCTAATTATAATGATTTGTCATTACTATTAGCACACTACGATGTATGTGACAGAAATACTGGAAGTATGAATAACATTTTTTATTCCATACCAAGACAAAGATCTCTTGATGTTCATGATTATATAATTAATCTTATACTAAAATTCGACACTGATAATAATTTAGACACAAAAAATAATGTTTTCCTCAATGTTACCAATCTTGATACCATTCTCAACTTCCAAAGAACAATAAAAACTGCCCACAAAAACATAAAATCAAACAATGACACTGATTTAAAAGCTCTTTGCAATTTGAACCAAAATTTTAAACTATTAAAATTATTTTGTTTCTTAAAAAATAATTACCATGAACACATTGAAGATTCTAATGCAATGGGATTGCAAATGTTGTCATTCATTGATAATTTGAAAAATTTCTTTACCACATTTCTTGAAAATACAAATGATTGGTTAAAAAAATTGCTAGCAATTTATTACAATGTTTATGTATGGGAAAAGGCCAAAATTCTTATTGAATTACAAGGTGTTTATAATGATATACCATATGTTTCGAGAAAAAATGATGATTTGTTGAAAAAAATGATTTTTATAGTTGATGAAAAAGTAATGTCTTTGAAAGCAAATTTATGTCCATGTACATGTTCATTGTTGAGTGAAGAAAAATATAAATTTCAAATTGAAGCTGACGTTATAAATTTCAATGAATACTTTAAGAAAACATTATGTCCTGGTGATGTTAAAGTTTATGAATTTTTTGCTCTTCATAAAATTATATTTGACAAAAATATAAATGCTGTTGGTAAAGAATTGGAAATCATTATAATTGCACCAATTTGGGAAGTTAGTGGCAACATAAAACTAGATTTCAGTGGTGAGAAATATAAGAGGGTAAGTTTTTCTATTGTTTAAAATTTTAACATTTTTTCATCATTATTGCTCTAGGTCAATAAAGTACCCATTATTATCCTAGGGTAATAAAGTACCGATTATCACTCTAGGGCAATAAAGTATCTATTATTACCCCAGGACAATAAAGTAGGACCCATTATTACCCGCGGTCAATAAAGTACCTATTATTACCCTAGGGCAATAAAGTACCCATTATTTTCCCAGGACAATAAAGTATCTATTATTACCCTAGGACAATAAAGCACCCTTTATTACCCTAGGGCAATAATGGTCAATAAAGTACAGGGTTGCCACAAAAATTTTATTTTATTTTCCCCTGAATTTTCCCTGACTATCAGACAAAATTTTGACGTTTTCCCTGACCCTGAAAAATATTTTGATTCACTCCAAAAATTACTAATTACTCAAAAAAAAATTTCTATTACATTTATTTACGAATTTCTTTAACTGTAAAATTATTCGAAAACATCAATAACTTTTTTTTAAAATAAATATTTAATCATTAGGTACTATTTTTCTATAAAAATTAAGATTTTCAAATTCAAACCTTCTGTAACTGTAAATTCAAAATTTTCAAAGATTTTAATTTAAACCTTCTTCAAAATTCAATTATTTCTAAAAATTCACGCTATAATGCTTTTAATATTCAATTATAATTTAAAAATTTAAGTAAAATTTTTTTTTTTAATCATTTTTGGGGCGCATGATTATTCCCCAAATGTCATTTTTCCGAAATGTCATTTTACCGAACTGCACTTTTGCGAATACTCATTTTTGCGAATCGTCATTTTTGCGAATTGTCACTTTTGCGAATCGCCATTTTTACGAATTGCCATTTTTACGAATTGTCATTTTTGCGAATAGTCATTTTTGCGAAAAGTTATTTTTACGAATTGTTATTTTTGCGAATTGTCATTTTTGCGAATCGCCATTTTTACGAATTGTCAATTTTCCGAAAAGTCATTTTTGCGAATCGACATTTTTACGAATTGTCAAATTTCCGAAAAGTCATTTTTGCGAATTGTCATTTTTGCGAAAAATACAATAGAAAACTTGTAGGTCTATAAATTCACTATTGTATTTTTCGCAAAAATGACAATTCGCAAAAATGACTTTTCGGAAAAATGACAATTCGTAAAAATGGCGATTCGCAAAAATGACTTTTCGGAAAATTGACAATTCGTAAAAATGTCGATTTGCAAAAATGACAATTCGCAAAAATGACAATTCGCAAAAATAGCTTTTCGCAAAAATGACAATTCGCAAAAATGACATTTCGCAAAAATGACTATTCGCAAAAATGACAATTCGTAAAAATGGCTATTTGTAAAAATGGCGATTCGCAAAAGTGACAATTCGCAAAAATGTCATTTCTTTAAAATGACCATTCGCAAAAATGGCAATTCGTAAAAATGACTTTTCGCAAAAATGGCTTTTCGCAAAAATGACATTTCACAAAAATGTCTTTTCGTAAAAATGACAATTCGCAAAAATGAGTTTTCGAAAAATTGACAAATCGTAAAAATGATGATTCGCAAAAATGACTTTTCAGAAAATTGACAATTCGTAAAAATGGCCATTCGCAAAAATGACAATTCGCAAAAATAGCTTTTCGCAAAAATGACAATTCGCAAAAGTGACATTTCGCAAAATTGGCTTCTCGCAAAAATGACTATTCGCAAAAGTGCAGTTCGGTAAAATGACATTTCGGAAAAATGACATTTGGGGAATAATCATGCGTCCCATCATTTTTTAGTAGAAAATTTTTCAATTATTTCAATTATTTAAATAATTAAATATTTCTTAAAATTGAATTTTTATAAAGAATTTTATCAAAAATTTTTTGAAATAATTGAATTCTTTCGGTGAATTTGAAAGAAAAAATATTAAGAATGAATGTAATTTTCTATCATTTTATTTAAAATTATATAAAAAATAATTGAAATTTTGCGATAAGTTTTTTTATTTATGAAAATAATTGATTTCTTGCAACGAATTTTATTAAAAAATTTTTTTAAAGAATTTTATTTGTGAAAATAATTGAATTCCGAAGAAAAATATTATTATTTATGAAAATAATTTATTTCTTGTGAAGAATTTTATTTAAAATTTTTTTAAATAATTGAATTTCTCAGAATTTAAAAAAATTTTTTGAAAATAATTAAACTCTATCGTGAAATTTCATTAATAAAATAGAAAATAATGGAAATCTAAAGAAGAATATTATTTTTTTTTTTTAAATGATTGAATTTATGTGAAAAATTTTATTTTTGAAATGAATTGAATTCTTGGGAAGAATTTTATTAAAATTTCCTAAATAATTAAATTTCTCAGAATTTTTTTAAAACTTTTTGAAAATAATTAAATTTCATCGTAAAATTTCATTAAAAAATTGAAAATAATTGTAAACTGACGAAGAATATTATTTTTTTTAAATAATTGAAATCTGACGAAGAATATTATTTTTTTTAAATAATTGAATTCCTGTGAAAAATTTTATTTTTGAGAAGAATCGATTTCTTGGGAAGAATTTTTTTTCTATTTTTGTTTAAATAATTGAATTCACATTAAAAAAATGTATTATTTCCTGAAAATAATTGAATTCCTAAGAAGAATTGTATTGAAAATAATTGAATTTTTAAAGAAAATTTTATTAAAATTGCAATTTTATTAACTGAATTTTGTAAAGAATTTTGTCAAAATTTTGTTTTGAATAATATAATTTTTAAAACTTACAATTTTATTTTAATTTCTCAAAATAATTGAATTTCTCAGATCTATTTTTTCAATTTTTCTGAATATATTTGAATTCTTTCAAGAAACTTTATTAAAAAATGATAAATAATTAAATTGGTGGGAGGAAAATGAAAAATTGATAAATAATTGAATTGCTGAGAAATTTTTATTAAAATTTTATTTAAAGTAATTAAATTCTATAGGAAAATTTTATTGAAATAAGAATTATTGATTAAAGAATTATTTTTCTAAATAATTTCAGAGAGACTCTAATTTGACTGGAAGACAAGGAGGAACCTTTTTTGGAATGTACGTAACTTTACAATTATCCAATAATGATCATTTAAAAATTGACGTTTCTAGTGGTTATAAGATGAATGGAAAAGGTATAATATTACCATTCAGTAACAATCAGTCATTCAAATTTACGACAAAATTGACAATTAAATCTCTTGACACCAGAAATGATCCAAAAATAGTTTCCTATCATTCCACAAACGCTGTTATGAGATATAAGAAATTAATCCTATCATCAATGTTAAAGTACAACAATTCTGACTATAAATTTTTGTACACAAATCTCAGTAATAACAGTGAAATATTAAATGACTATACTACGATGGATATTATTGATGAACTATATAGTTTGGAGGAATTCTATTTACAAGACGATAAAAAATTAGATTCCCTATTTATGTACAAAGTATATAAAAAAGGAATAATCTACAAAATATTAAACATGAAAAAAAATAATGATTCATATTTAAACGATGATCAAACAATTCAACATTTAAATACATTTTACACCAGAAAAATAAAGAATTTAGAAGAAGGTTTTTACAAAAAACCCATATTACACATTAACGATTACTTGAAATTTATTTTATCTGACGCAAATAGTATACAAAATCTCGACATTTTGAATAGATTTCAAATAATTGTCAACAATTTCACTCAGGAATTTAGGGAAGAAATTGCTGAAGGTGAAAAAAGACTTATTGACATTGGAAAATATGTGAAGGAAAAAACTGATGAATTAAATCAACAAATTGGAAGAATAAAAGCAGAAATTGATACATTGCATGAACAGAAGAAAAATGAAAGTCTTCAATTAAAGGAAAATAAAATTTTATTAGGGGAGAATAAAATTGTCAAACAAATTTGTGGAACTATTAAAATAATCAGTTCGTTTGCTGCACTAATAAATCCTTTTTTTGCCGTTGGTGGTGCATTACTTTTATCAACTGCCACTGTAGTAGAATCTCTATTAGTAAAACCCGTTAATGATGTTGTACACATTAAAATACCAAACACAATCTATGATAAATTAGAAGAAAGTAATATCAACAGACAAGCGCAAAACAAATATTCAAATATAACCCTTCCAGCAGCAATGTCCAAAAATATTAAAGATTATATTAAAAATTATGATGATTTAAGAAAACAACCTGTAGCAGGTATTGAAGGTATACATAGAGAATTATTTAAAGACTACACCAAAGAAGTTGTGGAACAAATGAAAACCGAAACAGAAGCATGTTCTAATCAAAAAGTACCGGGTAAATGTCAAATAGAAACTATTAAAAAGCATAAAGAAAAATTACACATAATGGGTTCGTACAATCAGCAAAAGCATCTTAACCGTATGAAAAATCTTAATAAAATCCCATTTGCAGCCGACAATCTTCTGGTATCAGTTGACGTTTTCAACGATATAAGAAAAACAGACGCTTTAGAAGAAGAAATGATAAATCAAGCTAATGAGTCTGATCAAGAATTGGAAAACTTGGAGAAATTTAATAAAGAGGTTGAAGACACATTAAAGCCTAAAATCGAAAATTTGCGCAATATTTTCAACACTTTTTCCGATGGTTTTGTCAATGCATCGACAACAACTTTTCTTGAATTCGAAAAATGGAGGGTTGACGAAGAATTGTCGAAGTACTTCAAAAACTTAAAATCATGGGTCAAAGATCTGAAGATAGCAGATGAATTTCAAGAAATCATGGATAATTTAGAAGTAGCTATACAAACGACTATTAAATTTCACATTCTTGTCAAGGAATTTAAGTCAAAAATAGATAATGCAGAATATATGGAACACCTTGTTGCAGCACCATTTCATGAAATTTTCACCAACGATCCTAATTTAAGAGTGGCTTACACGAAATTAAGTCATTTTTACTATGCAAATCAGATACTTGACGAATACACCAAATGGCTAATTTCCTTCAAGCAGTACACATTTCCCTGCATGAACTATTATCCCGAAATCAAGGAAATCTATTTTCTGGATACTAAATCTCCTGTGATGAAAGCTAACAGCATAATTCAAGCTATGAAATCAGTAAATAAACATTTGAATAAAATAGAAGCTGAAGGATACTCTGCTTTCATAGATTTTCGAGTTGGCAATTTTGGTAATGGTACTAGTCGTCCACCTTTCTATGAGTGGAACAGTAGTTTACATTACTCAACTATAAAAGAGATGCTTGATGGTAAACAAGTGAAATTGTTTGCAAATATCTCCCATTTCGATAAATATAATGCAGTGAAATTTCGCGATATTCATCTTTTGATTACTTCAAATAAATATGAGGAGGAATTGAGAAGGGATTTGAGTAATATTTCGTTGACACTGAGACATAATGGGGATAATTATTATAGGTGCGACGATAATATCCATTTAATCCAATCGGGTGTTTTGCAGCTAAATTTTGATACAATATATTCTAAAGCGGATCAATTTATTGATAGCGAGAAAAATGATTATGTTTTGAGTCCCTTCGCCACGTGGACGGTGCAACTTATGCTTAATGAGAAAAATGAAACATTTAAATCATTATCAAAGTATGCTGATAATGTTAATATAAAATTGATTGGAGATGGCAAGTTCATGCGAATGAATATGAATATATGCGAAGATGATTTGTGGATTTATTACGGAAATCGACGGTTGAACCTAGAAGCATCGCCATAAGAAATATTTTTCCAATGACTACTATTTGTCTATTAATGATTACCAAGACAATTTTATTATTGCTTTCGTAACATTTCCAGTAGCTATTATTTATCGAAGACCCAGCGTCCCAGTGTGCACGTTCTGGAACTGTTCTGTAACAGTTAATGGAAATAAAGAACAGTTACAGAACGGTTCCGGAACATACACACTGGGGTGTAGGTTAACTGTCTTTGTTAATAGTTTTAAGGATTTCAAGATTTAAACTAAGAAAATTGTATTTGGATCCCCGAACTCTGTTTAATGCAAGGAAAGTAAATAAGCTTACCCTAACAGTATCTGAATAATTCAGGATGTCTTATTGTCTTGGGGACAACCATTCTTCTGGAGAAATTAGGATATTCCTTAAAAATCCCTTGTATGTATGAACAACCTACCGATATCTTAGAAATATCCTAATCTTTGGTTACGCCCTGGACGTCCTTGGTATATCTTAAAATATCTGTTACTGTTAAGATAGATATACATTTTTAAAAACATTATTAATTAAAACTAAAGAAAAATGTAATAATTCCGCTGATTTATTTGATTTGCCAGAATAAAAATTAATTTAAAAATAAGTCCAACTTGTTTATTCATTTCATCAACCCAAACTTTTTTTCTCTGATATTTCTCCTGATGCACTTTTTGAATCTATAATGAGTATTAAATCTAATGCAGCCATTGTAGTTTTTTTTGGACTTTTCGAAGGCATTTCCATCAGTTGATCATAATCTATTAATACGTAAACTTTCTTCATTTCAATTGTCGAAGTCTGTATGTGATTGGTTCGAGTCATACACTAATTTTAGGTTTCAAAGGGTTATTGATGGAAATGGCATTGAATCAGAATGGAATGGACTGAAATGTGGTGTTCCTCAGGGTGCTTCACTGTTTTAAGTACTTTTTAATTTATTCATTTCGGAACTTGGAAGTCATTTGAGGCATTGTAAGTATCATAAGTATGCTGATGATTTCAAATTGTATCTTTCAGGTCTACTATTATCTTTGCCAGATCTACTTCGAATGATTCAAACAGATATTACGTTGAACAAGTGATAATGGACTTGTTTTCAATTCAGAAGACTCAGGGAATGGTGATCTCGGCATTGGGACAACTTTCGTATGAAACGTTGTCAATATTGCCTTCACTTTTATTAGGGAGTAAACCTATTGTATTCTAGGAGACAGTGAGGGATCTTAGGTTGAAAATAAATAGAACATTGGGGTCGATTCCGTAACTATCCCACTCCCACATCCCACTCTCACTTCCAACACCCACTGCCTACACCAACCTTCCACTTTCCACTCCCACTTCTCACACTCACTGCCCACCTTCCACTTCCTACTTCCCACTTTCCATTCACACTTCCTACACTCACTGACCACCTTTCACTTCCACTCTCACTTCCAACTCCCACTTCGCACCTTCCACTCTCACTCCCACCTTTCACCTTCCTCTCTCACTTCCTATTTTCCACTTTCAACTCTCACTTCACACTCCCACTTTCCACTCTCATTTGTCACACCTACTTCCACTTTTCACACCCATGTCCTACCATTCACTTTCCACACCCATATCCTACCTTCCACTTTCCTTTCTCACTTCACACACCCACTTTCCACCTTCCACTTTCCATTCTTACTTTCCACAACCACTTCCCACTTCCTACCTTCCACTATCACTTCCTACTTTCTACTTCTACCTTCCACTGCCTACTTCTACTTCTCACATTATGTATCTTTTGCACTTACCACTCTTACTTCCAACCTTGCACTCTTATTTGTTAATCATGTGTTTTCATATAAAAGTAGGAGTGGTAGGTGAGAGTGAAAGTGGGAAGTAAAAGTGGAAGGTGAGAAGTCAAAGTGGGAGTAGAAAGTGGAATGTGAGAAGTGGGAGTGGTATGTGGGAAGTCAAAGTGGAAGTGGAAAGAGGGTGTGGGAGGTGAGAGTGTGAAAGTTACAAAATGTGGGAAGTAGGAGTAGGAAGTGAAAGGTAGGAAGCGGAAGGTAGCCAGTAGGAGTAGAAAGTGGGTGTGAAAAGTGGAAGATGGGAAGTAAAAATGGGAAATAGAAGTAAGAATGTGAAGTGGGCGTGGAAAGTGAGTGTAAGGAGTGAGAGTGGGAAGTAGAAGGTGAGAAGTGGAAAGTGTGTGTGGAAGGTAGAAAGAGTGGGAAGTGGAAGGTAGGAGTGATAAGTGGTAGGTAGGAAGTGGGAGTGGAAGGTTAGAGTTTGAAGTGGGTGTGAGAAGTAAGAGTGAAAGTGAGAGTGAAAGGTGGGATTCGGAAGTCAATGAAAGTGGATTAAAGAATATAGGAAGTAAGAGTGGAAAGTAGAAGGTGGGAAGTGAGAGTGAAAAGTGGAAGGTGGGAGGTAGGCGTGGGGAGTGAGAGTGGGAAGTGGAAGGTGGAAAGTGAGAGTGAAAAGTGGAAGGTGGGAAGTGGGTGTGGGGAGTGAGAGTGGGAAGTGGGAAGTGAGAGTGGAATGGGGAAGGTGGGAAGTGAGAGTGGAAAGTGGAAGGAGGGAAGTAGGTTTGGGGAGTGAGAGGTGAGAGTGGAAAGTGGATTTAGGAAGTGGGAGTGGGAAGTGAGAGTGGGAAGCGGAAGGTGGTAAGTGAAAAATGGTAGTGGAAGGTGGGAAGTGAGAGTGAAAAGTGGAAGGTGGGAAGTGGGCGTGGGGAGTGAGAGTGGGAAGTGAAAGTGGAATGTAGAATGTGGGAAGTGAGAGAGGAAGGTGCGAAGTGGGAGTTGGAGGTAGAGGGTGGGAAGTGAGAGTGGAAGGTGGGAAGTGGGTATGGGATGTGAGAGTGGAATGTAGAATGTGGGAAGTGAGAGTGGAAGGTGGGTGTGGAAGTGAAAGGTGGTCAGTGAGTGTTGGAAGTGAGAGGGGAAGGCAGGAAGTGGGTGATATCAGTAATGACTTAAATCAAAAACTTGAAAGATTCTTTTATGGTTCCTCGAATTTACTTATTTACAGCAATCTTATAAGGTCGTGTAGAGGTCACACACGTGACACATGACATAAGTTTTGAAAATTTATCTAGGAATTTATATTTTATACTCAAGTGTCATGGAAATGTTATTGAAAAAATGTTTATTTGTTAGAATTTGTACTGACTCTAAAAATGATTGTACATCATAATTCGTGTATAGTTCAATAATAAAAAATTTATTGCCTTTCTAGATAAATCAAAAAATAATGCAAAAGAAACTATTTACCAAAAAATAAAATAGTTTCTTTTGCATTATTTTTTGCTTTATCTATAAACGAAATAACTTTTTTTATTCACTATCATACCAAAAAATGGAGTTTCAAAGAAAACATATCTTTTTTCTATTAGCTGTGGCAATTTTTTCTCTTGATCAGAATGCGGTAATGTATGGAATTATTTATAATCATGTTTTAAAACTACAGCACCACCTGAAACCACGCTTAATAAATTAATTTGAAAATAGATAATTTAATGTAATTAACTGAACTAGGGAGGACGAAATTAGATAACAACTAAATATTATATTTCGAGACATGTTTTTTTAGTAAATGCGTTTTACAGGCGGATGAAAGAAGAACTAGTAGTAGACATTTTGATGATGATATCTGTACTTTCTACGATTACACCAAGGCAATTGATGAGTTGCTCTTCACAGAAACCTCAAAGCCTTTAGTAATAATTATTGCTGATAATATGATTAAAGGCATTCAAAAAGCTAAGGATCTAACTCAGGATACAAGAATAAATAACAGAGAAAGTAGAGATAATCATCAGAACTCTCAGTTATTTGACAAAATATTGGAGAAAATTCATCTGTATGAATCAAAAGACATTTCCTACTTTGTCTATCCTGTAAACATGAGAAATGATTTATTGACAACATACTGTCAACGGAAACTTATAAATGATAGTTTTGTTGTAATGTTTCATTTTCTTAATTCGAAGAATGAGTTTCCTTTTGAGGAGGAAATTTTTATTCCACTAAAACCACACTCAATGTGCACGAAACAATGTACTTTTATCGAATATGTAGAAGAAAAAATGCAGATTGGTAAAACATTCTTTGAATTATTCGAATTACGAAAAAAATTGTTTAGCGAAGCGGCAAGAGAGAACTTTCTCATTTCTAAATCCGATAAAATTGATAACTCTCTGTTTTATCAAAAGTTAAATTCTCAGAACGTAAGTTCTATGATTTACTTTAACATGTTATTGGAAGAAATTCGAAATTCTTCCATTAATTTGAAAGATATGGTTGAAAGTACTTTTGTCGAAAAAAGCATTAATTGTTTTAAATCGAGATGTTTAGGAAATAAAGAGTTTAATTTCTTGAAAGATTCAGGAATACATGTACGGAATGTGTTAACTTTTACTGATTATTTAACTTTGCTAAACAGTACGATATTTTCGTTAGATAGCAGCGATGCATCATTCGGAAATCTTTGCAACATGATTCATTATTCGGAAGTAATTAAATTATTTTGCTTCATAAAGAATTTATCTGACGCTACATCCCTGAACATAGAAGCGTGGATAAGTAATTTAAAACTATTTGTGTCAAATTCATTGATGAGCCAACTATCATGGTTCAACAGATTGGTAGCTTTGTATAGAAATCAATATTATTTGGATGCAAATACGTCTGAAAGGGAGAAGAGCAAACTTAGTATGGAAATAGAATATATGGATAAAGATTTTAGACAATGGATGAAGTTTGCCTTGTCTTCTATAAATTACGTAATGGTAAGTAAAAGAAATTAATATGTACATATAACCTTTGTTAGTGGTAAGTGTAAGGTGTGAAGTGAAAGTGGGAAGTGGAAAAGTTGCGTCGATTCTGTAGCTTTCCCTCATTCCACTTTCCACCTTCCATTTTTCACTTTCACTTCCCTCTTTCCACTGTAACTTCCCACACCCACTTCCCACCTTTCACACTAACTTCCCACACTCACTCCCACTAATCCACCTTTCACTTTCCACTCTCACTATCCACTCCCACTTCCAACCTTCCACTCTTACTTCCCACCTTTCACTTCCCACTCTTACTCTCACTTCCAACTTTCTAGTCTTACTTCCTCCACCCACTTCCCACTCCCACTAGCCCACCTTCAACTTTCCACTTTCACTGCTTACTCCTACTTCCTACTCTCACTTCCCACTCCCACATTCCAATTTTCACCTTCCATTTTTCACTTTCACTTCCCACCTTCCACTTTTCACACTAACTTCCCACACTCACTCCCACTAATCCACCTTCCACTTTCCACTCTCACTTCCTACACCCACTTCCCACTCTCACATTCCACTAATACACTTCACACTCCCACTTCTCACTCCCACTTCTCACTTCTACTTCCCACTTTTATATCTCACCTTCTACTTTTCACACCCAGTTTTTACTCCTACCTTTCACTTCCTACTCCTACTTCCCATATTATGTATTTTTTTACTTCCCACTCTCACTTATTATGTTCCACTTTCACTTTCCAACTTCTATTTTTTACATCTTCTTTTTACTTTTACGCTCCATCTTGCATTTTTCACACCTTCTTTACAATCACACTTACTTCTCTCTTACTTTCTACCAAAGCACTCTTCATCGTTAATCACGTATTTTCATTTAAAAGTGAAAGTGTTGTGAGAGCGTGGAAGTGGAAAGTGAAAGTGTAAAATTGGAATGAAAAGTGAAAGTAGAGTGTGAGAGTTAAAAGTATAAAGTGAAAGAGGAATGTGGGAAGTCAAAGTGGAATGTGCTAAGTGAGAGTTAAAAATGAAAGTGGAAAGTGAGAGTGGAAAGTTGTTGTAAGAAGCGGAAGGTGGAAAGTGAGAGTAGAAAGTGGAAGGTAGGAAGTGAGAGTGGAAAGTAGAAAGTGGGAAGTGAGAGTGGTGAGTAGAAAGTGGGAAAGTGGTAAGTGCAAAGTGGGAAGTGGTAGTAGAAGGTGGGTAGTGGGTGTGGAATGTGAGAGTGAAAAGTGGAAGGTGGGAAGCAGGTGTGGGGAGTGAGAGTGGAAGTTGGGAAGTGTGAGTGGGAAAGTGGGAAGTGGTAGTGGAAGGTGGGAAGTAGGTTTGGGGAGTGAGAGGTGAGAGTGGAAAGTGGAAGTTAGGAAGTGAGAGTGGGAAGCGGAAGGTGGTAAGTGAAAAATGGTAGTGGAAGGTGGGAGGTGAGAGTGAAAAGTGGAAGGTGGGCGTGGGGAGTGAGAGTGGGAAGTGGAAGGTGGAAAGTGAGAGTAAAAAGTGGAAGGTGGGAAGTGGGTGTGGAGAGTGAGAGTGGGAAGTGGAAAGTGGGAAGTGAGAGTGGAATAAGGAAGGTGGGAAGTGAGAGTGGAAAATGGAAGGAGGGAAGTAGGTTTGGGGAGTGAGAGGTGAGAATGAAAAGTGGAAGTTAGGAAGTGGGAGTGGGAAGCGGAAGGTGGTAAGTGAAAAATGGTAGTGGAAGGTAGGAAGTGAGAGTGAAAAGTAGCAAGTGTGAAGTAAGAGTGGAATGGGGAAGGTGGGAAATGAGAGTGGAAAGTGGGAGTGGGAAGTGAGAGTGGGAAGCGGAAGTTGGAAAGTGAAAAGTGGTAGTGGAAGGTGGGAAGTTGGTGTGGGAAGTGAGAGTGAAAAGTGAAAGGTGGGAAGTGGGAAATAGTAGGTGGGAAGTGAGAGTGGGAGTGGGAATTAGGAAAGTTACAGAATCGACCTCCAGAATAACATAAAAATGTCTTCCTTTACCTATTGTGCATATCTACTCTTTTTTTCATATAAGGATTAAATATTTCATTAATAAACACTTGAAAAAATTATTTTTCAGAGAGGAAAAAAACTTGAACAGCTGTATGAAACATTTGAAGATATTACTATATTTTACGAGTATTGGGAAACAATTGATGAATTGCTTTTTGACGTAAAAATCGACAAATTAGTAATAATCTTAACTGATGATGTTGCAAAAGGAATTCAAGTTCTCGAGAAAATGACCAACAATGAAAGGGTAAAACCGAAAAAAAATCGAGGTGATCTACATTATACAAAACAGTTCCTGTACGATATAATAGTGGCGAATTTTTATTTGTTTCAATCCAATGATACTTATTACTACGTCTACCCCACTCAACTGCAAAACGATATGTTGATGTTTTACCTCCATTTTATGATATTTAAAGATTATTCTAAAACCACATTCCATGTCGTTAAATTTGAAAAAAGTTTCACTCTTTTAGGAGATAATCAGTTCAGTTTTACTGACATTGTGATTCCAGCGATACCAAATCCAAATTGTGGGATAAATTATAGTATCTTAACAGTTTTAATCGATTATAGTTTAGTACATTCATTATTTTATTTTCAAAATTCATATACTTTTAGAAAATATGCCACTGAGGATAGAAATTTGTCGTTATTGTTAAAATTCCACAATTCATGTGAGGAAAAAACCTATTTTATGGAAACTAAAATGCAAATTTTTAACGCCTTAAAATTTCAAAGACCAGCGATTCTTTATGATTATGCCATGAATCATATAGCATATTTCAAAAATGTGAATTTACGGAGAAAAAATGAAATATTCCTCAATATGAATAAACTTGATGATGTTTTCAACCTATCCAAAATAATAAAATCTGCTTATAAGAATCTAAAATCACTGAATGGCAATAATAATTTAAAAGACCTTTGCAGTTTTAAAGAAAATTTCAAACTTCTTAAATTATTTTGCTTTTTAAAAAATAATTTGCTCAGTGTCTTCGAAGCGAAAAATTCCGAGAAATTTGTGCCGATAAAAACACTAATTCAAAAACTGGAGAATGTTATCACTGCATTCTTGAAAAATTCAAATGAGTGGTTAAATAAATTGCTGTCAATTTATTACAATGTTTACGATTGGGATAAAGTTGTGATTCTAAGGGAATTTCAAACTCTGTACAAAGAGATAGCATACATTACGAAAAGAAATAAGAAATTATTTAAGAGAATTCTTCATCTTGTTGAAGAGAAGACAATGTCTCTGAAAAGTATTTCATGTCCATGTTCATGTTTATTGTTGGGTGGCGAAGAATATAAATTGCAAGTTACAACGGATATTATACATTTTAATGAATTCTTCAAAAAAAACTTTTGTCCTGGACCTATAAAAATTTATGAATTTTTTGCTCTTGATAAAATTATATTTGATAAAAACTTAAAAGCGGGTCATAAGGAAATGAACATTAATATAATTGCACCAATTTGGGAAATAACATCAAAAGTAAAAATAGATTTGAGTAGTGTCAATATAAAAGAGGTAAGTCTATAGTGTTTTGTTATTTATTTTTGCTTTAACTTTTCACTACTTAAACTTATAGTGTGGAATAATTTAAATTATTAGATTATTATAGCTAATTTTGCAAAATGATTACAGGGGAATTCTAATTCAACTGTAACATCGGGAGGGAACTTTTTTGGAATCTACAAAACATTAGAAATGACCACTAACGATCAATTAAAAATTGATGTTTCGAGTGGATATGCAAGAAATGGAAAAGGACTATTACTATCATTTAACAACAGTGTCTCAATCAAATTTGAGGGAACATTACGAATAAAATCTTTTAATAATTATTACAATCAATCACGAAGAGAAATTTCTTATCACATCTCCGACGTAGTTAAAGAATATAAAAAGTTTCTATTGTCATCAATGTTAAAGTACAATAATAGTGACTATAAATTTTTGTACACAAATCTCAGTAAGAACAATGAAATATTAAGTGACTATACAACGTTTGATATTATTAACGAACTACTCGATTTGGAGTATTTCTATTTACAAGATACTAACAAATTAGATTCGCTGTTTATTTTAAATGTTTATCAAAGTGGAATTATTCATAAAATAATGGACGAGAGAAAGGGTATCCAATCAATGAATAATGGCGATCAAACAATTCAACATTTAAATACATTTTACACCAGAAAAATTAAGAATTTAGAAGAAAACTTTTACAAGAAACCCATTTTTCACATTAATGATTACTTGAAATATATTTTATCGGACGTAAACAGTATAAAAAATCTGAAAATTTTGAATAGATTTCAAATAATTGTTAACAATTACACTAAGGAATTTAAAAAAGAAATTATCGAAGCAGACAAGAAAATTAGTGAACTTGCAGTTTACGTAGACGATAAAATAAAAGAATTAAATCATAAAACTGAAAAAATAAAATCAGAAATTGATAGTTTGCATAAAGAAAAGGTAAATGAAGCCCAACAGTTAATCAATAAAGAAACTCAACTAAGAAAGAATAAATTGTATAAAACAATATTTGATGTTTCAAAATTTTTGTGTATAGGACTGGGACTTATAAATCCCTTTTTTGGTGTGGCTGGTGCAATAATTCTAACTGGTGCCAGTGTATTAGAATCAAAATTAATTACCTCTTCTGATGATATTATGCATGTGAATATACCAACAGTAGTTCGTGATAAATTGCCAAAAACCAATGACTTTGATGATCAGTCGCAACAAAATTTTTTAAAAGTTTCACTTCCAGCATCTTGTTCGAAAAATTTTAAAGATCACATCAAAGCTTACGACGATTTGAAAAAACAACCAACAGCTGCTGTCGAAAGTATACACAGAGAATTAAATAAAGACAATACAAAGATAATAGTGGAGAAAATTAAAGAATCACAAGTTATGTGTTCGACGAAAAGCAAACCAGGTAAATGTGAAAATGATTTGATTAAAAAACATAAAGATGAATTGAATTTGAAGGGTTCTTACAATCAGCAGAGACATAGCGAAAAAATAAGAACTTTCAATAAAGTTGCTTCATTTGCCGAGAATATTCAATCGGGACTTGATGTTTACAACAACATTAGAAAAAGTGATTTGGAATTAAATCAAATATCAAATGACTTTGTTGAAGTTGATCAAGATTTAGATAACTTGATGAAATTTAATCAACAGGTTGACAGAACTTTAAAACCAGAATTAGAAAAATTGCGAAGTATTCTCTATGGTTTTACCGAAGGTTTTGTCAATGCAACGACAAGCACTTTTCTCCAATTTCAAAAATGGAACATTGACACTATATTGACGAAATATTTCCAAAAGTTAAAAACTTGGGTTAAAGATCTAAAGGTTGAGGATGAATTCACAGAAATATTGGACAATTTACATAGAGCTATACAAACGAGTATTAAATTTCACACTCTTGTTAGAGATTTTAGGTCAAAAATTAACAATGCAAACTATGTGAAAGACCTTGCTGCTGCTCCATTTTATGAAATATTCACAAACGATCCTTCTGTACGAGCAGCTTATGACAAATTGAGTTATTTTTATTATTCAAATCAGATAATTGACGAATACAACAAATGGATAATTTCCTTCAAGCAGTACACATTTCCCTACATGAGTCATTATCCCGAAATAAAAGAAATCTATTTTCTGGATACCAATTCCCCTGTGATAAGAGCGAACAGCATAATCCAATCCATGAAATCAGTAAATAAACATTTGAATAAATTAAAAGCTGAAGGATATTCATCATTTATTGATTTTAGAAATGGGGACTTTGGAAATAGAGTGAGACATCCTGCTTTTTATGAATGGAACAGCAACAGAGATTACTCAGCTATTAAAAATATTCTTGATGGTAAACAAGTGAAATTGTTTGCAAATATTTCTCATTTTGATAAATATAATGCAGTGAAATTTCGGGATATTAATCTTTTGATTAGTTCAAATAATCATGAGGATGAGGAATTGAGAAATGATTTGAGAAATGTTTCCTTGATGCTGACACATAATGGAGATAGTTATTATAGGTGTGATGATAAAATTCATTTAATCCAATCGGGTGTTCTGCAGCTAAACTTTGATACAATATATTCTAAAGCGGATCAATTTATCGATGGTGAGAAAAATGATTATGTTCTGAGTCCCTTTGCTACGTGGACTGTGCAGCTTACGAATATTATGGAAAACGAAGAATTTCAGTCATTGGCAAAATATGCTGGACATGTTAATGTAAAATTGGTTGGGAATGGCAAATACTTGAGATTGCATAAAAATGTTTGTCAAGACGATTTGAGGGTTTATTATGGGGATCAACATTTTTAGTCGTCAAGCATTTTAATAGTTTCACTTTCAAGCAAAATTGGTTTTTATTTCAGTTTCAAAATAACTTTCAATCGACTATCACTTTTACTTAAATTTTATTTTCACTCCACTTTCATTTTCACTCCACTTTCACTTCACTCAAACTTTCACTCTAACTTTATTTTCACTCCACTTTCACTTCACTTTAACGTTTACTCAAATTTTATTTTCACTTCACTTTAACGTTTACTCAAATTTTATTTTGACTCCATTTTCACTCCACTTTCACTTTCATTCATACTTTTTATTTTTACTTCACTTACACTCAAATGTAATTAATACTCTAATGTCAATTTTACTCAAATTTAAAGTTTACTCCATTTTTACTTTCATTTATACTTTTTATTTTCACTCCACTTTCACTTCACTTTCACCAATTCATATTTTATTTTCACACAACTTTCACTTTTACTCAAATTTTAGTTTTACTCCATTTTCACATTCATTTAAACCTACTTTTTATTTTCACTCTACTTTCACTTCACTTTCACTCAATTTTAATTAACACTCCACTATCGCTTTAACTCAAATTTCATTTTCACTTCACATTCGTTTCACTGTAACTTTTACTTAAATTTTATTTTTACTCCACTTTCACTTCACTTTAACCTCTACTCTAATTTTATTTTCACTCTACTTTCACTTCACATTAACTTTTACTGTAATTTTATTTTAACTCCACTTTCACTTCACTTTAACTTTTACTCAAATTTAATTAACACTCCACCTTCACTTTCACTCAAATTTTATTATCACTTTACTTTCACTTCATTTAACTTTTACTCAAATTTTATTTTTACACCACTTTCACTCCACTTTCACATCACTTTAACGTTTATTCAAATTTTATTTTGATTCCATTTTCACTTCACTTTCACTTTCATTCGCACTTCTTTTATTTAATTCACATTCACTCAAATTTAACTACACTTTCACTTAACTTTTAGTGAAATTTTGTTTTCATTCCTCTTTCACTTTTACTGAAATTTCTTTTTAACTCCACTTTCACTTTACTTTCACTTTCATTCGCACTTTTTATTTTTAATTCACATTCACTCAAATTTAACTACACTTTCACTTAACTTTTAGTGAAATTTTGTTTTCATTCCTCTTTCACTTTTACTGAAATTTCTTTTTAACTCCACTTTCACTTCACTTTCACTTTCATTCGCACTTTTTATTTTTAATTCACATTCACTCAAATTTAACTACACTTTCACTTAACTTTTACTGAAATTTTGTTTTCATTCCTCTTTCATGTTTACTGAAATTTCTTTTTAACTCCACTTTCACTTCACTTTAACTTTTACTTAAACTTTATATTCGCTCCACTTTCACTCCACTGTCACTTTACTTTAACCTTTACTCAAATTTTATTTTGACTCCATTTTAACTCCACTTTCACTTTCATTCATACTTTTTATTTTTACTTCACTTTCTCTCAAATTTAATTAACACTCTACTTTCACTTTTACTCAAATTTTAAGTTTACTCCATTTTCACTTTCATTTATACTTTTTATTTTCACTCCACTTTCACTTCACTTTCACCCATTCATATTTTATTTTCACTCAACTTTCACTTTTACTCGAATTTTATTTTTACTCCATTTTCACATTCATTTGTACTCTTTATTTTCACTTCACTTTTACCTAACTTTTACTCAAATTTTATTATCACTCCACTTTCGCTTTTACTCAAATTTTATTTTCACTTCACATTCACTTCACTTTAACTTTTACTCTCATATTCTTTTTACTTCACTTTTACCTAACTTTTACTCAAATTTTATTATCACTCCACTTTCGCTTTTTCTCAAATTTTATTTTCACTCTCTTTCACTTCACTTTCACTCATTCATATTTTATTTTCACTCCATTTTCACATTCATTTATACCTACTTTTTATTTTCACTCCACTTTCACTCAATTTTAATTAACACTTCACTTTCGCTTATACTCAAATTTCATTTTCACTTCACTTTCACTTCACTTTAACTTTTACTTAAATTTTATTTTTTCTCCACTTTCACTTCACTTTAACCTCTACTCTAATTTTATTTGCACTTCACATTAACTTTTACTTCAACTTTATTTTCACTCCACTTTCACTTCACTTTAACTTTTACTCAAATTTAATTTACACTTCACTTTTACTTTCAATCAAATTTTATTTTTACTCTACTTCCTCTCTACTTCAATTTTCCCTTAAAATTTTATTTCCCCTCAACTGTTACTTTCAATTATATTTTATTTTCATTTAAGTTTTACTTTTACTCAAATTTTATTTTGACTCCATTTTCACTTTCATTTATACTTGTTATTTTCACTACACTTTCACTCCACTTTCATTCAAATTTAATTAACACTCCACTTTCGCTTTTACTCAAATTTTATTTTCACTTTACTTTCACTTCATTTTAACTTTTACTCAAATTTTATTTTTACGCCACTTTCACTACACTTTCACTTAACTTTCACTCAAATTTTATTATCACTCCACTTTCACTTCACTTTAACTTTTACTTAAATTTGATTTTCATTCCACTTTCACTTTCAGTCAAATTTTATTTTCCTTTTACTTACACTACACTTTTACTCAATTTAATTTGATTTCACTTACACTTTTACTCTTAATAAATTTTGAGTGAAAGCGAAGTGGAAGTAAAAGGAAACTATTATTTGAGTGAAAGTGAAAGTGGAGTAAAAATGTAGTGAAGATAAAATTTGAGTGAAAGGGAAGGAAAAATAAATTTGGAGTAAAACCGAATGTGAAGTGATAGAGAAGTGAAAGTGAAAGTGAAAATAAAAAGTATTGAATGAAAGGTGAAAGTGGAGTGAAAATGAAGTGAAAATAAAATTTGAGTAAAAGTAAAATTGGAGTGGAAATAAAACTTGAGTGAAATTGGATTGACAGTGTTGTGAAAGTGGTGTGAAAATAAAGTTGAGTAAAAGTGAAGTGAAAATAAATTTTTATTGAACCTTGTCAGCTTGGTGCCTCCCCAAATCATTAAAATAGACTATCTCATGAGCCCAAATTTGAATTAAGTTAATAATTTTAATTTATCCTAAAATTGGGACGCATGATCATTCTCCAAATGTCATTTTTCTGAAATGTCATTTTACCGAACTGCACTTTTGCGAATAGTCATTTTTGCGAGAAGCCAATTTTGCGAAATGTCACTTTTGCGAATTGTCATTTTTGCGAAAAGCTATTTTTGCGAATTGTCAATTTCCTGAAAAGTCATTTTTGCGAAACGCCATTTTTACGAATTGTCAATTTTCCGAAAAGTCATTTTTGCGAATTGTCATTTTTGCGAAAAATACAATAGAAAACTTGTAGGTCTATAAATTCACCTTTACAATTCGTAAAAATAACTTTTCGCAAAAATGACTATTCGCAAAAATGACAATTCGTAAAAATGGCAATTCGTAAAAATGGCGATTCGCAAAAGTGACAATTCGCAAAAATAACATTTCTCAAAAATAAAAATTCGTAAAAATGTCGATTCGCAAAAATAACTTTTCGGAAAATTGACAATTCGTAAAAATGGCGATTCGCAAAAATGACAATTCGCAAAAATAGCTTTTCGAAAAAATGACAATTCGCAAAAGTGCAGTTCGGTAAAATGACATTTCGGAAAAATGACATTTGGGAAATAATCATGCGCCCCCCTAAAATTTAATACTTTTTTCGTTTTTATCAGTCTAAATTGTTAAAAATCCGTTTTGAATAAAAAAAAAATTATGTGAAACTTTGTAAAAAAAATTTCTTTCTCCCACACTGTGAATTAAAAAAAAATTAACTTCTATGAATCCGCATTAGTAATTGATTGCATAAATTATGTTTTGTAACAGTAAAACTTTTGCAAATACGTGACAAGTTTATATTCGATTTTAGAAAAATGTCCCATTAACTTTGAGAAACTCACAAATTCTATTGTACGTGAGTAGATAAAATTCGTCGTCAAGATGCATAAAATGATTCGATTGCAAACTTGGTGAAGATAACCACCCATAAATGTCCAGATATGGCTGAACTCCAGAACCTCCTTTATTTCTTCACTTCTCCGATTGCCAGGTAATGAAGTAGCCAAGAAAGATTTCCAGAGTTTTATTACCTTCGCCATGATTAATTTACAACCTTCACAACGAAGCATAATTTGTTTTTTAAATCTATTATCATCAATAATTATAAAGTTAATTATAAAAAATATGGTAATTAAATTAATTTTAAATAAAAAAAATTAAATCTTAAATTGTCTCTAAAGTTTCATTTTAGAAATCCTGAATTTTTTCCATTCAACATGTTTTAATAAATAATTTTTTTAATCAAGATTGTATTGGTAGTTGAGTATTTATTAAAATACAAGGTAAGTTGAAACCTAAGTGAATAAAGTTTCAATTATTATCTGTCACGAAAAGAACTCCGATAAGATTGTTAATTACAAACTGCATTTTTTTTTAAATATTCTGTAAGAAATAATTTACAAATAAGTGAAATAATTTTTTTTTATTATCCTAAAACTATATACAAAAAGATACCAAATACTTTTTAATATTTTTCCACATATGATTAATGAAAACGGACGTAAAAAATAATTAACTAATTACATGACTGATTATATAAGTGACATATATTTAAATGTATTCGTTATCGTGAAAAATGCTTCTGTCTCTTCGTTTCACAATGAAAAGATTTTCAACGTCTGTCTGCTTTAGAAATTTTTCAAAAAATTGATAAAAGTATTAACCATAAACGTTAGCTTTTTAAATTATGTACTTTATTATTGCTATAAATTGCAAAGGAATTGAAATTATTTAAAAAAATATTGTAAACTGAAACTGAATCTTTTATTCATGTTCTTTTTGATATAATATTACAACTATTGAAACAGGAATTAGAAACAAGTTTGACAACTTTTCATTATCATAAATATGTTCCATCTTTTTAAAAACTGCAGACAATGCAAATTTTTTTGTACAATTTTCATATGCTTTAAATCACTTGGAACAGAAATATGTTTAGGAATATATTTTCCTTTTTTTTAACCACATCATTAGTGATACTACTCTTCGGAGGATTTTCGACGACAATTTTTATCGTAAGTTCTATAGAAATCTTTATTTATTTATTTGTTTTATTATTAGAATTTTTGTTTTATTTATTAAATAATATTTAATAAATCTCCCACTACGTAGTGGGAGATCTGTCCTAGACGGACCCTAAAGTGTTAGATTTATATTCCATTGATGGCTTAGTACTTATTTCTTAATATTACCAAAACTGTGTATTTAATATTCTTGGTAACATTGAAAAGGTTTTTGCTATTTTAAGAAAGTTAATTAATTAATAATTTTAGAATTCAGCGCCAACTGAAGATGGATCGTCGTCAAGTAGTAATGGTGGTGACATGACTACAAGTTCAGCTGGTAATGGCAACGATGGATCTACTACTAACTCGGGAGATGGTAGTTCCAGTAGAAATAGTAGTCCAAGTTCAGGTAGTGGGGACAACGATGGATCGACCACTAGCTCCGGAGGCTCTGATGGAAACAGCACACCAAATTCTAGTAGTGGCGACAATAATGGATCGACCCCCAATTCTGGAGACTCTGATGGAGATAGTACTCCAAGTTCTGGTGGTGGCGATAATAATGGATCGACCCCTAATTCTGGAGGCTCTGATGGAAATAGCACTCCCAGTTCTGGTAGTGATGACGATAATGGATCGACCCCCAATTCTGGAGGCTCTGATGGAAATAGCACTCCCAGTTCTGGTAGTGATGACGATAATGGATCGACCCCTAATTCTGGAGGCTCTGATGGAGATAGTACTCCAAGTTCTGGTGGTGGCGATAATAATGGATCGACCCCTAATTCTGGAGGCTCTGATGGAAATAACACTCCCAGTTCTGGTATTGATGACGATAATGGATCGACCCCCAATTCTGGAGGCTCTGATAGAAATAGCACTCCCAGTTCTGGTAGTGTTGACGATAATGGATCGACCCCCCCTTCCGGAGGCTCTGATGGAAACAGCACACCAAATTCAGGTAGTGGTGACAATAATGGATCGACCCCCAATTCTGGAGGCTCTGATGGAAATAGCACTCCCAGTTCTGGTAGTGATGACGATAATGGATCGACCCCTAATTCTGGAGGCTCTGATGGAGATAGTACTCCAAGTTCTGGTGGTGGCGATAATAATGGATCGACCCCTGGCTCCGGAGGTTCTAGTGGAAACACTACTCCAAGTTCGGGTACCGGCGATGGATCAACGCCAAGTTCAGGAGGAGGTGGGACCACCCCGGATAATAAAGGAAGCAGCACATCAAAACCCGGTAACGGAAAAGATGGTTCCAAAAAGAAATGCTTCTTTCGTCCGTACTGTTACATCAGAACGAAAATTAGAAACTTCAATTGTCGAATTGTTCGCGGACTACTTAAAATTAAGTTCTTGAATTTTATAACCAACGCCCGTATATATTCCTGGTATGTCCATAATTGTTGATGAAATAATTTATATATACATGTGAGCATCTAATAAAATCTCCAGTCTACCAATACTCCCTAACTGTCTAAACTAATTTAATTCCTTATATAAAAAGAATAGATATGCAAATTAGATAAAGGGCCATACTTAAATTACGTAACGCTTTTTTATTTGAGACTACAAAAAAAAACTAACTTGTTAATAATATTAACAAAAAATATTTTTTGTTCTAGATTTTTCAGTCGTTTATTTACTCAAGGAGAAGTACAAATATTATTTTCGATAAAACAAAAAAAATTTCTTCGTTTATCCGTTTGAAAGATTCTGACCCAAATACCTAAAAAGTTTGTTTCCCTTGAAAAAATGTTGCGCAGTTATTTTTTTAAATAGATTCAGCATTACGTTATTCTTCATATACAAAATAAATAATTGTCTTCGATTTTATTTTTAAAGATTAATAGATTGAAAAAATTGAGGACGCAAGAAAATTGAACGCTTTTAATTGAATATTCTCTTTTCAAAAAAATTTTTCCAAACACCTGTGTTTATTTTAATTAAATTAAGAAATGTCTAGAGTGCAGTAGAAATTTTAATTTATTGATAATACTTTGAGATATAATTTCTTTTAATTTTGGATAGTTTGTCCTACTTTTATTTTAGCGTTCTATTTGAATGGTATAGTCGTATTATATTTATACACATGTCTACAATGTTAAGAAGTAGACAAAATAAAATAAAATTGCAAGCACGAGAATCGATAAATTTTCCACGTACCTACGAAGTACTTAACATTATTTTTAAATCTATTTTTTTATTTTGTGACTTAATTATTAATCATTACTCATTATTATTTATTCATTATTATTATTATTATTGTAATTAATTGTTATTATTTATTATTATATATAATTTTTATAATTATAAAAAAATCTTTTTTTTAATTTAAAGTTATTTTTTTTTTACACAGAACTGCGTAGTGTAATAATGATATATTTCATTTTATTGTGCACAATATCTGTGCAATCGGTGCTTTCGTACCAGGTAATTAAGTTTAAATTGTTCTTAAAATTTTTAATTGTTTAAAGTTTAAATATATATTTTTATATTGTATACTTTTAATCACTTGTTATCATAATTATGACTACTTTTCTACTAAGAAATTAGAGAATTAATAAAGTGCTTTTAGATTCAGGAATCTGGGATATTCGATAAATTATATGATGCTTCTCCAATTGTCAGGAAGGGCAGACAAAAATTGGTAAGTTATTATATATTTTTACTTTACTGATTGCAAAAAAAAAGATGTCGCAGTATATTGCGCTCTAGCTTAAAAATATCAAAACGCATCTCAATTACATAAAAAATTGGTTTTTACTTAATTAAAAAACTTCATTCATCATTAAAACGAATCTAGGTGTCATCCAGGCATTAATGACACCTAACAACCGTCACTATTCTTTTGATAAGGTACGTGATAAAATTTATTTTTACGAGACTTAATTTCTCTAGCCTGACGCCGGAGTTTCTAACGGCAACAAAACAGCAAATTCAGGTAGTGGCAATAACGAAGCATCGACGCCTGTCAAAGAAATTCCTAACGAAAACAACACAATAACTTCAGGTAATGGCAACAACGAAGCATCTACCCCTGTCTCCGGAGGTTCAAACGGAAGCGGCACAACAACTTTAAGAAGTGTAGTCAACGATGAATCGAACATTGACTCCGGAGTTACTAACGGAAGCAGCAGAACAACTTTAAGAAGTGTAGTCAACGAAGCATTGATCCCTGTCAAAGAAATTTCTAACGGAAACAACACAGCAACTTCAGATAGTGGCAACAACGAAGCATCTACCCCTGTCTCCGGATTTACTAACGGAAGCAGCACAACAACTTTAAGAAGTGTAGACAACGATGAATCGAACGTTGACTCCGGAGTTACTAACGGAAGCAGCACAACAACTTTGAAAAGTATAGTCAACGATGAATCGAACGTTGACTCCGGAGTTACTAACGGAAGCAGCACAACAACTTTAAGAAGTGTAGACAACGAAGCATTGACCCCCGTCAAAGAAATTTCTAACGTAAACAACACAGCAATTTCAGGTAGTGGCAACACCGAAGCATCGACCCCCGTCAAAGAAATTACTAACGGAAACAACACAGTAACGTCAGGTAGTGCCAACAACGGAGCATCGACCCCTGTCTCAGGAATTTCTAACGGAAGCAGCACAACAACTTTAAGAAGTGTAGTCAACGATGAATCGAACGTTTCCTCCGGAGTTACTAACGGAAGCAGCACAACAACTTTAAGAAGTGTAGACAACGATGAATCGAACATTGCCTCGGGAGTTACTAACGGAAGCAGCACAACAACTTTAAGAAGTGTAGTCAACGATGAATCGAACGTTTCCTCCGGAGTTACTAACGGAAGCAGCACAACAACTTTAAGAAGTGTAGCCAACGATGAATCGAACATTGCCTCGGGAGTTACTAACGGAAGCAGCACAACAACTTTAAGAAGTGTAGTCAACGATGAATCGAACGTTTCCTCCGGAGTTACTAACGGAAGCAGCACAACAACTTTAAGAAGTGTAGACAACGATGAATCTAACATTGATTCCGGAGTAACTAACGGAAGCAGCACAACAACTTTAAGAAGTGTAGACAACGAAGCATTGACCCCTGTCAAAGAAATTTCTGACGTAAACAACACAGCAACTTCAGATAGCGGCAACAACGAAACATCTACCCCTGTCTCCCGATTTACTAACGGAAGCAGCACAACAACTTTAAGAAGTGTAGACAACGAAGCATTGACCCCTGTCAAAGAAATTTCTGACGTAAACAACACAGCAACTTCAGATAGCGGCAACAACGAAACATCTACCCCTGTCTCCCGATTTACTAACGGAAGCAGCACAACAACTTTAAGAAGTGTAGACAACGAAGCATTGACCCCTGTCAAAGAAATTTCTGACGTAAACAACACAGCAACTTCAGATAGCGGCAACAACGAAACATCTACCCCTGTCTCCCGATTTACTAACGGAAGCAGCACAACAACTTTAAGAAGTGTAGACAACGATGAATCGAACATTGACTCCGGAGTTACTAACGGAAGCAGCACAACAACTTTAAGAAGTGTAGACAACGAAGCATTGACCCCTGTCAAAGAAATTTCTGACGTAAACAACACAGCAACTTCAGATAGCGGCAACAACGAAGCATCTACCCCTGTCTCCCGATTTACTAACGGAAGCAGCACAACAACTTTAAGAAGTGTAGACAACGATGAATCGAACATTGACTCCGGAGTTACTAACGGAAGCAGCACAACAACTTTAAGAAGTGTAGACAACGAAGCATTGACCCCTGTCAAAGAAATTTCTGACGTAAACAACACAGCAACTTCAGATAGCGGCAACAACGAAGCATCTACCCCTGTCTCCCGATTTACTAACGGAAGCAGCACAACAACTTTAAGAAGTGTAGACAACGAAGCATTGACCCCTGTCAAAGAAATTTCTGACGTAAACAACACAGCAACTTCAGATAGCGGCAACAACGAAACATCTACCCCTGTCTCCCGATTTACTAACGGAAGCAGCACAACAACTTTAAGAAGTGTAGACAACGAAGCATTGACCCCTGTCAAAGAAATTTCTGACGTAAACAACACAGCAACTTCAGATAGCGGCAACAACGAAACATCTACCCCTGTCTCCCGATTTACTAACGGAAGCAGCACAACAACTTTAAGAAGTGTAGACAACGATGAATCGAACATTGACTCCGGAGTTACTAACGGAAGCAGCACAACAACTTTAAGAAGTGTAGACAACGAAGCATTGACCCCTGTCAAAGAAATTTCTGACGTAAACAACACAGCAACTTCAGATAGCGGCAACAACGAAGCATCTACCCCTGTCTCCCGATTTACTAACGGAAGCAGCACAACAACTTTAAGAAGTGTAGACAACGATGAATCGAACATTGACTCCGGAGTTACTAACGGAAGCAGCACAACAACTTTAAGAAGTGTAGACAACGAAGCATTGACCCCTGTCAAAGAAATTTCTGACGTAAACAACACAGCAACTTCAGATAGCGGCAACAACGAAGCATCTACCCCTGTCTCCCGATTTACTAACGGAAGCAGCACAACAACTTTAAGAAGTGTAGACAACGATGAATCGAACATTGACTCCGGAGTTACTAACGGAAGCAGCACAACAACTTTAAGAAGTGTAGACAACGATGAATCGAACATTGACTCCGGAGTTACTAACGGAAGCAGCACAACAACTTTAAGAAGTGTAGACAACGAAGCATTGACCCCTGTCAAAGAAATTTCTGACGTAAACAACACAGCAACTTCAGATAGCGGCAACAACGAAGCATCTACCCCTGTCTCCCGATTTACTAACGGAAGCAGCACAACAACTTTAAGAAGTGTAGACAACGATGAATCGAACATTGACTCCGGAGTTACTAACGGAAGCAGCACAACAACTTTAAGAAGTGTAGACAACGATGAATCGAACATTGACTCCGGAGTTACTAACGGAAGCAGCACAACAACTTTAAGAAGTGTCATCAACGATGCAACAACCCAAAGTTTAGGAGTACGTGTATCGACCCCTGTTACTATTAGAAGCATCACTTCAAGACCCAGTAATGGAGAATATAGTTCGAATAATAAATGCATCTTCGGTCTCCACTGCTACATTAAATCAAAGTTTAGAAACTACAATTGTCGAAATGTTCGCAGACTACTTAAAATTAAGTTCTTGACATTTAGAACGGATGCCCGTATGTATTCCTGGTATGTGGATAATTGCTGATAAATCAATTTATACATATGTGATCATCTAATAAAATCGCCAATCTACCAATTCTCCCTAAGTGTTGTAACGTTGATTTTAAATAATCATATTATAAAAACCGAATTGAGTTTTCGCCGAAACTTATTCAGTTAATTCTTAATTAATTATTATAAATTAATTGCGGTAGCCAGAATCGAATTCAACATTTTATTTTATTAGTATATTTCTGAATTGCATAGAATCAATATAATACCGAAATATTGACTTGTATAAAATCATATTGTTTAGCTCAAGAGAATTCCACACGTTCTGGTTGATTATAAAACACAATGTTATTTATTATTATTTAATTATCAACCGACCGAAAATGTGTCAGCAATTAATGAATTATCGGAAGATTGTCGAAGGCTAAAGCGTTCGGAGAAGTTATGCACAGCTTGCAAACGAAAATTGTGAATAGTGTCTCGATTTGTTAAATTTCAACAAATTATAATTTTGCGAGATTAGTTTCTTTAGCTTACAGTATAAATTTACTGTGAAAATAAAATTACGAAGTTAGGTATTTTTTTGTTGCTGTAATATTCATAAGATTACTTTCTATGCGGATAAAACACACTTGACTTTATTATAATGACATTTACACAAATAATATGTAAATTTCTTTATTAATTATTTATAAATACTTGAAAAAGTTTTTTTTCACTTGAACAAATGTTGCGTAGTTATTTTTTTAAATAAATCAAACATTACATTATTCTTCATATACTAAACAAATAATTGTTTTTCATTTTATTTTTAAAGATTAATAGAATGTAAAAATTGAGGATAAAAGAAAATTGTACATATCTATACCAGTTTTATTTAAATATTCTCTTTTCAAAAAATTTTGTTCAACACCTGTGTTTATTTTAATTAATTTAATAAATGTTTAGAGTACAATAGAAATTTTAAATTTATTAATTTTGAGATATAATTCCTTTTGGCTTGGCTAGTTTTTCGTATTTTTGTTTTAGCGTCCGGATGCGTCCTATTTAAATGGTATAGTCGTATATATTTATACACATACCTAAAAATTTAAGAAGTAGACAAAATAAAATTGCAAGCACGAGCGTTAATAAATTTTGTACGTATCTTCGAAGTACTGAACATTATTATTTTTAAATATATTTTTTTCATTCTGTGACCTAATCGTCAATTGATATAAAATCATTTTGTTTTAATTTAAAGTTATTTTTTTTAGACAGAACTGCATAGTATAATAATGATATATTTCATTCTATTGTGCACAATATCTGTGCAATCGGTGCTTTCGTACCAGGTAATTTCTTGTTATCCTAATTATGACTACTTTTCTACTGATTGTGAGGAATTAGAGAATTAATGAAGTGTTTTTTTTTAGATTCACAAATATGGGGAATTCGATAAGTTATATGATGCCTCTCAAATTACACATAAAGACGGTAATTTTTACTTTTTACATACAAATTGTAAAAACTTAATTTTTAAAATATCGGTTCCATGCTTAATTAATTTTCCTTAAATTAATATCTGCAGACTATGAAGTGGTGGGGATTAAACACTTGGTTCATAAAAGAAGTTCTAATGATATTATTATTCAAACTGAAATTAACGGAATCGACAAGAAACTTTATTTGAAACCAACGAAAGGTTTTTTTGCTGGTAAAAGAACAAAAGTTTGGTTAGCGAAAGTTGATCCAAAACAGCCGGACAAGTTTATTTATACTCCACGTTCAGGGGTGAGACAAATTTATTAAACGATTTTGATAAAAGTTATTATTCTGAGTCTTCTTGATTGAAAAAGAATTTTTATTATTGTTTTCTTATAAGATAATGGAGAAAGTGGGTACTTTTTATCAAGACAGGAAAACTTCGACGACACTTTTGCACAAAATTGACAGGCAGGGCAGATCAACGTTTGTGAGTTATTTTATATTTTTACTTTTACTGATTGTAAAAAAAATGCTGCTTCGCGATATAAACGTGCCACACCTGATCCTCGCTTTGGCTCACCAGTGGATTTTTTTTTTTTTTTTTTTTTTTTTTTTTTTTTTTTTTATATTATTGGTTGGTTTTGCTAATGATTTTCAGTGATTGCTTATAGCATTGGCTATAGAGATTTTTATATATTATATGTATGACTTTAAAAATTATAATTAAAGACTGGTACATCTGGAGAGTATGTGATAAGGCCACTACCTGATTATCTTCTACATGTAGAGTCCACGTCTACAAATAATGAAAATAACGAAACATTGGTAAACACTGTAAATCATATGATTTACAAACAAGACATTCAGGATAATGAAAACCCTTATGGTAGGTTTCCAGACACCTTGATGTTAACTTTAATCGACTACTGTACATTTTTATTAACTCCATTACCATTTCAAAAAATTCTTATTTACTGTAATTAATTAAAAAAATTTCATTATTTAGAACAACGTACTTTCAACAAAAATATCTCCAAGCGTGAAGTTTATGCTAAATCAGAATCAGGTGATCCAAAAATCATTTACCCGGAAATCATGATATTCGTTGATGATACACTGTTCTCGTAAGTAGTAAACTAAATAGTAACTAGTTACTTAATAGGTTGTAAATAAATATTTTTCCCGCCAAAGAGGTCTTTATCTTGTACTTTCTTAACTTTTTCCTAGACGTTTCAATAAAAACGTCGAAAAAACAGTGGAGTACATACTTTCCCTATGGAATGGTGTTGACCTAAGGTACAGAGATTTTAAGAATCCGGAAATATATTTAAATATCGCAAGGATAATTTTAGTGGAGGTACTTTTATATTTTTAACATACGTTATACATTTTTGGAAAATTTCACAGATTTCATTTCATCAATGTGATTATACTGATTATAAAAATTATACCAAAATTATCTGTAAATATTTACACAGGGTCCTTTGCCCTTTGAAGACAATATTCTTGCGCCCGATGACAGAAATAAAATGTTTGACGAAAAGGTTTTGAACTCTTTCGGAAACTTTTTGTACAATGAGGATAGAATTGGATTTAAAAGAGACTACGACGTGGCTATATTAATGACTGGAAAGGATTTAATAAATATGAATTACAAAACTACGACAACTGGTAGGTTGAGAATTTTTGTAACATTAGCTAAAATGTGACATTGAGTGGAAATATAATTGAGCTAGATCCAAAGTTTCTTTAGTAAACAAACAATTTAACCTTGTCTGGAATTTTCCGATGATATATGACATTTTGGTTTCTTTTTAGGTATTTCATTTGTAGGCGGCGCTTGTAATAAGACAGCATCGGCCTATAAGATTAAAGCTGTAGGAGTAATAGAGGACAACGGTGGTTTTAAGGGAATTAAAGCAGGAGCACATGAATTAGCTCATTTGTAAGTAGACATGAATCATTAGAAGAAAATAATTTAGGGTAGTGTAACGGAATAACGAATAAACTATTAGAATTGTTTTTTATAAGGACTGTTACATTTTCTTTGTCTGGTGGAGTGAAAGGAACTTTAGGATTACTTTTTAAAAAGAGTTTTTTTTGTAGTTTTTTAGAAAAGGATCTTTCTTGATTTTTAGATAATTGTTTATTAGCCATTTGTAAAAATATTATTTCTAACAACTTACCATTATAGAATCGGTGCTCCACATGATGGCGATGCAGCATCGTCTTTCGGTGGACCTGGAGCTGAAACATGTTCATGGGATCATGGTTACCTAATGAGCTATGAACGTCTTGACAGGAAGCAATTCGAGTTTTCTTCATGCAGCAAACAGTCGATCACTTACTTTACCAGGTAGAGTAAAATTTCCCGTCTTTATTTGTTCAGATTTTTTTTTGTGGAGCTTATCAAATCGCTGGGTCTAAGTTTTACATCCAAAGAGGAGTTTTTAGATGATAATTTAATATTCCTTTCACGTTTACTAAAATTTTACTACAGTCTAGCTCGTGCTGAATGTCTTCGCAATAATCCTGCTGAGAAAATGGGAACTGAAAAACTAACCAGAATATTGCCTGGTAAACTAGTGTCACTAAATGATCAATGCAGAAAAAGTGGATTCTATGCAGCACTTCATGTAAGTAACTAACTTTCTTTTTCTGAAAAAAAAACTAGTTCTGAATAAAGTTTTGTATTCTTTGTCATAAAATAATTGAAGGAAAAGAAAAATTTTGATTAGAAAACAGTGATGTAAATTAAAAATGTTTTTAACAAATTATTTCAGAAAGATGCAAGCGTGTGTCTTGATTTGTGGTGTTTGGAAAAACCGGTTGGATTTAAAGGAAAGATGACTTATCAGTCAACCCAGGCTGCTGCTGAAGGATCATATTGTGGTGACGGCATGGTAAGTTCAGTAATGTTAGAGAAAAGGAAAAATATCTAAATATTTACGATTAATTTTACTTTTTTAGTATTGCTTGGACGGTGAATGTGTCGAAGAAACGGATACAACTTAAATCATTTTCTTCTGACAAAAGACAAATGAGAACTTGTAGGATTTTTCAGTTTACTCAAATACTCTCTAAATTGTTCTAATTTACAAATAAATTTTAATATTCTGATAAAGATTTAATTTCCCACACGATGTGAATCGTGACGCCATCTGTCGGAATTGTTCCCGAATCGTGATCGTTAATTTGTAGGATAAGTCAGAAGCCAGAGTTACCCACTAGTCATAGTGAAAGTGTGACAACCCGACCAATTAGTAGAAGAGAAAATGATAGAGGTCAGGGTCTGAGATGTAGAAATCATTACAATTTTTTAAACCGCAAACACATTTTATTTATTAAAATATACAACATTGCAGAAATAATTATAAATCTTATTAAAATCTAAATCCAAGATTACAAAAATAAATTCAAACATCATAATCAGGGACCGTCTCGAAAGATTAGTTTCGTTTCACAAGCGGTCCCTGATCATAATCATAATTAAATTTTTTAATTTTTATTTTTAATGGCGTCAATGGTTTCAGTAAAGTTCTATCTTCAACTTTAATTCTTCCTATTGGTGTTTTATCATTACATTCTAACCTGTAATTTCGAAGAACCATAGATAGGAGCATTTTCAATGCTGCTGAACTAAATTTATTTCCTGAAATTAATGAATAAATTATATCCTCGACAGTTTTATTCTACATTTACAAATAATTTTACATAATGATTTTTAAATTTATAAGAAATTTAAATCCCATCAGTTATTTCTTTTTCTTTTAATATGGAATTTTTTTTTATATAACATTGTGCAATTCTTTTTAAAAATAAAAAATTATTGCTAATAAAGTAAATTATAACCTATGCAATTCCTTAGACCAGAACTAAATGGTAAATAAGATATGGAAGGTCGATTGGCAATTTCATTAGGAAGAAATCTATCAGGATCAAACTTTAGAGGATTTGGCCAAAATTTTTCAATCCGATGGATATGGAATATTGGTATAAATAAAGTACTTCCTTTTGGCAAAATGTGCTCGCCTAGAATAATAAAAAAGAAATATAATTAAATCCTCTCAGTAAAATATTCGATAATTTAACTAAAAGTCTATGGTTATATTGAAAAATAAAAAAAAATGAAATAATCTTTGGTTATATTAAAAAATAAAAAAAAATTAAATAATTTAAAAAACAAAGTCAATTAAACGTTTTCAGAAAAAATTAATTCTACCAGAATTGTTAGTTAAAAGTAGGAAAAATTTAGATTTTTAAAGATTTTAATTTGAAACCTTTTCAAAATTCACACTCAAATGCGCTTTTAATATTTTTTTATCTGAAATTTCGACCGAAATTCATTTTTAAATCAATTCTTAATTTTTAATAAAAACTCCTACGGGAATTCAATTATTTAAAATAGAAAAATAAATAATTTATTTGATAATTAAATGTTTCTTAAAATTTCATTTTTACGAAGACATTTATTAACAACTTTTGAAAATATTTCATTTTTTTTTTTAAATTTAACTAGAATTTTACTCAATTTCATTAAATTAAAGAATTTTATTCCAATTTTTGAAAAAAATTGAAAACTTTTTGAAGAATTTTATTAAATTTTGTTAAAATAATTGAATTATTGCACAGAATTTTATAAATTTTGAAAATAATTGAATTTTTGCGAAGAATTTTGCTATTTATAAAAATAATTGAAATGTTGACGAGAATTTTTTTTCAAAATTTTGAAAATAATTGAATTTTTGCGAAGAATTTTGCTATTTATAAAAATAATTGAAATGTTGACAAGAATTTTTTTTCAAAATTTTGAAAATAATTGAATTTTTGCGAAGAATTTTGCTATTTATAAAAATAATTGAAATGTTGACGAGAATTTTTTTTCAAAATTTTGAAAATAATTGAATTTTTGCGAAAAATTTTGCTATTTATAAAAATAATTGAAATGTTGACAAGAATTTTTTTTCAAAATTTTGAAAATAATTGAATTTTTGCGAAGAATTTTGCTATTTATAAAAATAATTGAAATGTTGACAAGAATTTTTTTTCAAAATTTTGAAAATAATTGAATTTTTGCGAAGAATTTTACTATTTATAAAAATAATTGAAATGTTGACAAGAATTTTTTTTTAAATTTTGAAAATAATTGAATCTATGCGAAGAATTTTATAATTTTGAAAATAATTGAATTTTTGTGATGAATACTATTATTTTTTAAAATAATTGAATTCTTGTGATAAATACTAATATTTTTTAAAATAATTGAATTTTGCAATAAATTTTATTATAATTCTTGAAAATATAATTAAAAGTCGAAGAATTTTGCAATTAATTTATAAAGATAATTGAAATGTTTACGACAATATTTTGTTATTTATAAAAATAATTGAAATGTTGACGAGAATTTTTTTTCAAAATTTTGAAAATAATTGAATTTTTGCGAAGAATTTTATTAATTTTGAAAATAATTGAATTTTAGCGAAGAATTTTATTAATATTGAAAATAATTTAAATGTTGACGAGAATTTTTTTTTTTTCAATATTTTGAAAATAATTGAATTTTTGCGAAGAATTTTATTAATTTCTAAAAGAATTGAATTCTTGTGATGAATATATTTAAAATTTCATTAAAAATATTTAGAAAATCTGCGATGAAAATAATTCGAATTCCTAAATGAAATTTTATTATTTATAAAAATAATTCAATGTTTTCGTAGAATTGTAACAAAAAAGGTTTTTAATAATTAAGTCTTTTAAAAAATTTTTTGATGAAAACAGTAAATATTAAAAATTATTGAATTGCAAAAAATTTCCAAAAAGTAATTGCAAAAGTAATTTTGCAAAGAATATTTTTAAATTTTCTGAAAATCATTTAATTTAAAAAAAAAACTTTATTAACAGACCAGTGTTAAAATCCTCCGTTACTGTACGACAAATAGTTGGAGCTCCGGGAAATAGGCGCATAGTTTCCTTAATAACTCTATCCAAATAATCCATTTTAAATAAATCTTCATTACTAATTTTTCTTCCTTCATCATCTGCATCGTCGAAAATCTTATCAATTTCTCTGCGTGCTTTACTCTGTGTATTGAAATTAAAATGTAAATTATAATTATTATAAATATTAAATATTATAACAAAGATTTATTACTTGTATTTCTGGTAATGATGCCATTATTCGGAGTGCAAAAGCAGCTGTAAGGGGTGTAGTGTGTATTGCCTAAAAACAGAAAAAATTTAATATAAATTTAATAAATAAATCTATATAAATTGAAATGTGTTTATGAAAATAAAAAAAGTAAATACTGCAGAAATGATGGCTTTAATTTCTTCCCAAACGTCTTCTTCGGTCAATTCATTTTCATTGAATGTCCTTTCTAATAATAAATCCAAAAATGTATTTCTTATACGCCTATTGTCGTCTGTAACAAAATGATCATGAAAACATTTTTTAAATCATAATATCCAAGTAAATTTAATAACATTTCTAGTTATATATTTTTCCAGAACAATATTTTATATCAAGGATTCAATATTATTCACTAAAATTATTTCACACTTGTAAATGACAAACAAGAAAATAACTAAATTAAAAAATAAATTATAAAGTAATAAAATTCTTGTTATAATACATACTTTGAATAATAAGTTTTCTTCTCTGGTGAACAATCTACAAAATTGTGAAAAAAAATTTTTAAATAATCTAATTTAAATACAAAATATGTAATATAATTCTTACGTTCTTAAGAAAATTATACATGGGCTGATCATTCGTATTTATCATTTTCGTCTCTTCAGTAGTCTTTAACATTGAAGTTAATATTTTATATGAAGCTGAATCCACTCCCCTAAAAAAAATTACAATTATTTAAAAGAAAATTTTTATCAAACTTTAATTTCAAATTTACAATTTTTTAACGAATGACCCTTCATAATATCAAATAATTCACAAACTTTTCCATAAACGTGGCATAATTTTCTTTCATCTCCAGTTCTAAAAATACATCTTCGCCCACAATTGCCTCTGTGACAGAAATTGATAGATTGTTTTAAAATATAGTAAACGATAATAATTACCCGTTTTATAGTCGAAAGACAAGTAAAGGAAAATTTAAAAAAAAAAAAAAAAAAAAAAAAAAAAAAAAAAAAAAAAAGTTTAACATTTTTAAACCCTTTGCAGTATGTTCTTTTAGGCAACAGCGATTAAAAAAGGCTCTTACCCTTTGGTAGTACAAATATTATAAAAAAAAAAAAATTGACTCTATTAATAATTATTTATCAAATATTGAGAATAATATAATTTTATGAATTTCTTACCTAATAAAGTATTCAATACATAAGTAAATGTCACATTTGCTAAATGAAATTCTTCACCATTTGCCATGATTGATAAATATTTTAAAACAATAACGGAATGCTTTTGAAAGACTTCCGTTGATTTGTGTAAAGTTTTAATAGCTGGTAACATTAATTTACGATGCATACGCCATACTGGTACTAACATAATCGTAATAAACAAAAAAGATGTTATTTTCTAATTAAATTATACTTTTATTTACTTTTTTACATTTATTTAAATTAATTATTTTAATTATTTTGATTTTCTAAATTAATTTTTGTCAAAAAATTTACCGTCTGCTGTAAATATTCCTTTACCGGCACATAATTCAAAATATTTATAGAATTTGGGTTTTTCACAAAGTTTCGAACTTTCTAGAGCAACCTTAAATGAAAAATTTTGATTTTCTAAAATACCATTTGAAAAATGTTGCTGTTAATAAAAGAGATTTTCTTACTTTAATTGTTTTTGGATCGTAAATAACAACGAGTAAAAAATTGAAGATCCATAGTCTAAATACTGAAGGGTACGAATCATACATTTCATATACAGTGTTCATAAAATCTGCAATAAAATGAGAATGTAATTACTTTACTTTTTGAAAATAATTATATACGTTTAACTTTAATTTTTTTTTTACTAACTTGATTTAATGCGGAAAAATAGATGAATATTGCCAAGTAAGGGTATTATTCGTGGTCCAGGTAGGAGAGCAGCTTTTTTGTAGAATTCTTTATTTTTAAAGAATTTATTGACAATCGTCAATATGAAAATCAGGAGAAAAATAAAACTTGCCAGAATATATTTGATTGACAATAACATTTTTAAAATTTATTTTCGAGATGATAATAAGTTTTTGAATGGGATTTATTTTCTTTAAACTTTAGAAGAAATATTGCACTTTCGAGATCGTTTACTCTGATGTAATATTATTCAGGTCTTTTAAATGATAGACATGTACTGAACTTGTATTCAATACGATGGTGAAATTATGAAGGGGGAAAGAACCATAAAATCGGTGACAAGTTAAAAATAGACTGATAAAAGTTTCTTTCAGCGTCTTCTTATATAGTAGATGCACATCTACAGGTGATGTTTCTGTAAATATTTAACAGCAATAAAAGTTGTTTTTTTAAAGAAACAAAACTTTATGATTAAAAAATTTTGTAAACATTTAATGATAAATTGTAATTTGTATTTATTTGATCATTTGTAGATCATTTGTAATTTAAAAACACTTTTTCTAATCAAAAATCTTTGAAAATAATTTTAAAACAAATTTTGCATTTAATGAATTTTAATTTTATATTTATTTTTATAAAACTTGTCTTTAAGTTCAAGGATTGACAATCAGGTTAATATATTGATCGGGATAATTTTAGAATGAAAAACACTACTTTATATGATGATTTTATGAATGTCAGAATTAGATAGTTAAAAACTATTAAATCCAAAAGTTTAGTTCAATTAGACCTCCAACACACCTACATTCATACCTCTGATCACTACATTCTTTTTCCTTTTTTCATTTTCTACTACATCCACTCGCCTTGAAAAACCTCCCATTTTCGACCTTAACCTATCATATTCACTTCCCTCAACTTTCTCAGTCCCCTCATTCACTTTCTTTATAAATTTTTCCAATCCATTCATTCTTTTCCACATGCTTTTCTTTTTCCACTTACCATCCTATTCATTCCACATTTCCTGCAATTTCTCCAACCTCTCGATTCAATTTCCACTATCTCTTTGTCCCTTGATTCCCCATCTTCACAGATATCCATTAAATTAATTATTAAATTAATTATATATCCATTAATTTCCCTTGACTCTCTTAGCTCCTTCATCCATCGCATCCTTCAACATCCATACTAATTCCAACAAATCCATGCAATCCTCACACGTCATCTTTTTTCCATTCTTTCCTATTTACCTTTTAAATACTCGCGCCTTTTTCTCATTCTCTCTAATGGAGCACTCACAGCTCTGCCTGCCTGCGCAGGCAGTAATTGGAGTAAGAGAGAAAGTCAATTAGAGTGAAAGAGACAGTGAATTCAAATTAATATTGCTGCCTACTAGCTGTGAGTGCGCCTTAACACTACTTGAGTCAAACTCAGCCATTCCAGAAATCTACCTTATCACTCAATTGCTCAAAATTTTTCCACTGTCTCTCTCTTCTCTGTCTCACTTCAAGCAACCTAACCTCACAAGACACACTTCTCTTTTTTACCTTTTTTATCACTCATACATTCCCTACTCTATACAAACATACCTTTCCTCTACACCACCGCAAATTACACTACACACTCAACACTCTACCCCACCCACCCTTTTTTAAAACCTTTAAATTTCTCAAAAAAAATCTTAACTCTTTCTAAACGCGTGTACACCGAAACGGTACCGGAAACGGAGGCCATGTTTAAACTATTTATAAACACAGACCTTTGAAATGGTGTCATGGAATGAAATTAATGTCTGCTGGATATAACCTGAAGGGTGATCGAAAACATAATGGAATCGAAGTTCTATATTATGTACTTATATATTGAATCGAATAAAATAAATGAAATAGTATTATAATTCAGAATATGAAGGTGGCTTTAGATGTCAGAAAAGCGTTTCCTATTCTCGAAACAAGAGATAACAGATAATACACCCACGCGTGTACAGGAAGTTTGAAACTAAGTTTGAGTCTCTGCCTTGTCAGAGTATTGGAGGGAGGAAGACGTCTTTGGGTTGCTGACGTGAACATTGCATTGCGATCACGCTCCCTTGTCTAACAGGAGTGAGCAAGAATGGGAATTTCGAGATAGGATTTCACCCTTTATAGTTGGTATATCAACTATCAGTGCTTTATCATCAGTTTTGCAAGTATCAATTCAATACTAGGAACTTGTACATTTTCCTTAATGTTAAAAGTTGCTAGTTACCATCATTTCGTCTTTGAAGAATTATATTTATCCTTATCATTATTTATACTAATGACCTTCTCTTAAGAATTTACAGTCAGACACCATTTTCAAAAAAAAGTATTTCATTCCATTTTTTTGGAAGTATCTCTGAAAATTTTTCGCAGTATTAAAACTTTTGCATTTACAGTTGTTTTATTCCAATCACTATCACTTTGGCTATTTTACTTCTCAGGTGGTAAAAGTTAAAATCTTTTTTTTACTCTCTCATAATTTTCAGTTTACGATACAACATTAAATATTCCCTTGTTGTTAAAACAATGGCATTAATTTTCTGTATGTGAATTAAACTTTTATTTTCAGCACAGTGTAAATTTAAAAGACTGTTAAAATGGGTGAAAAAAAAACAATTTCCCCCATTAAAGAGGGAAATAAAAAAATAAAGCCCTCGCTAATTTGTGAGAAGAGAATATTATATAGGGCGCGTTAAAAGACGGGAGATAAAAAAAAGAAGAAAAGAGTTTAGACCGTTTCAAAAGAATTCATTTAAACGTTTACTGGCGGGGGCGTACATTCTGAATGAAAATGCTATAAGGAACAGAAGAAGGGTTCTCGCGATCGCCAACAGCAATCACGGAAATGATCGTAATTTTAACGACTTGGATCGCGCTTCACCTGCCTTAAAGAATCTTGACTTGGAATCATCCTGAAATATCACAAGAAAGTAAATTAAAAAGTTTTTCATCTAGTCTCTGATGAGTTTTATTTTTATTTTGTTTTTTAATTGTAATTCTATTCTTTGTTTACATTAGTCTTCTTTTTCTAGAGGGACATGAACATCTTCTAAACAGAACACCATTTCTATTGATTATCCACTTGAAGTAAGATTTATTTTTTAATGGTCCGGTATCGGTGTCATGATTTATTCACAGAGGGGAAGACTTTGATCTTAAGGGACAGGTTTTAAGAAAGAGGAACTGTTCGAATTGAAATTAAATTATTAAAGTTTTATTTGAATCCTTTACAATTAGAATCAGAGAGTAGTAGATCCAGATGACTTCAGGGATACTGAAACAAAATTAGAACCTTGTGGAATAAAAGGGAATTTAAATGGGAACAAAATTTAAAGTATCAGTAATTTATCTTTTTGTTAGACTTGTCGACTAAGCAAGTGATACCTCCTTCAGTGTGAGGAGGAGGAAATGATCTTGACTAGCGGAAACAGAGAATGCAGTAGATTTCCCTCGAATTATTTTCGGGACAGACAAAAGTGAATTGTCTGGAGTTTTAGTCTTGATGCAGATTAGATTGAACACCCTTCAGACTTGGAGTGGCCGAATTATTTATTCGTTGTAGATGCCGTGGTAATGCAGTTCTTAGAAAAATAGAAATGTTCCCCGTAGTAGAAATTATCTCCTTGAATGAATTTGACTAAGACGAGAGTCGAAGAAGGCACTTGGGATTGGAAGAGGTTTTCTGGACTGGGGGTCGATTCTGTAACTTTTCCACTTTAATGTTAGTTTATGTAATTTCAATTTTTTTTGCCAGAAAACCCATTATTATTCCAATATTCAAGAATTTGTGTTCAGCACGAAAAATCCATTTGACACTTCGAGTCACATTCGGCGAAATCCATATGCACAACGACAGTGTAATTATCTTCAGAATTACATTGAAATAATTTATTACAAAAACAATTATTATATTCCAATTTTATTGGCGTGTTCCAAAACCACACTGAGTGTGCAGCAGCAGCAGCAGGAGCATCTGCAGCAATAATTTAAAGTGTAGCATCAAAAACAAGATTCAGGTCCCACCATTAATGTTGCAGCTGGTCTCGGGGGTCTCATAACTCGATTTAATTCCTCGCGAAATCTGCATGTTTAACTTGTGTCAGTGTTAACCTCGCGACTCTCGTGTTTCTCAAATTAATATTCAACGTTGCGCCCGATTATATAAGTGTGTTTCCTCCCATCTCCTTCTCTCTTATTCCCTCAGCCTTCTTCTTCTTCTTCTTCTTTATTTTGCAATGAGGCGTTGCTCAGGTGGCGAAGGTCTGTAATTTCCCGTCATTTCGTATAATTAGTTTTTTGTTCACATCGCGTACCGGTTACTTCATTTGTTTTTATTAACCACAAACTTAAATTTTTTACGATCATCGTTCAAAAAAAAAACTTCTCCTCCCTCCCCCCGTTGGGTCTTCTCCGTTCCTATCAAAGTTATTTCTTGTTTTACTCAACGATTTTAATGTTAACGATAGTTATTTCTTTCGAGCAATTCAATTTTATGTCAAAGTGGACCTCTTTACGGAAATTAAGAGACATTATGGTCGTAAATAAAACAATGACGCACACGTTATATTGTACCGTATATATAAATGAAATCTGCTGGGCTTAAAAGACAATAAATTTATTTTTACTGAGGGGAATTTTTAAGGTCATTTTGTGACCATTATTTTCCAGCAATACCGATCGGAATCATTGAAAATAAGTATTAATTAAATTCCTATTTTTTGAAAATGAATTCAAAATAATTTTAATATTTTCAAAAACAAGTAATTCTAGGAATTTCTATTTCCTGCTTTAGGTTCTATGGCGAATAATTATCTTTATATTAATCTCCGGTTTACGTCCGCCTTTGGATGATATACATCATTTGCATTGAAATGTCACCAAAACTTAATTTAACTTTGTCTGAGGATAAAAGTTACCCAGAATGAAATGAATGATCGTATTAATTATTCTTTTCTCTAAATATTGTACCAGTAATTATTTTTTCTAAAGGATACGTAGAATTTTTAAAAAGAAAATTTCTTCAACATTTCTAGTTATGATGGTAAATAAAAAAGATTTTAAATGTCATAAAGTGAAATGGACATATAATCTGTATTAAAATTGAGTATAAAGTCCCTAACGATCTGCAATGGTTGACTTTCGAGACCTATTAAATTCCTGAGTTCCCCAAAGTTTACATTGAAATTAAAATGTGAGTCTTAACGAAGACTGCGGTAGGCGAAAAGGGCTGAGTCGTTTTTACTGCTTTCGCCTCTCGTAATTCATCGTCAATTGCATATAGTGCCCCCTTCAAGTGTGTCAAGTTTGCTACTGTATGGTCAGTAAAGATTGCATTTCCCAATGTGATGGATTAAAATATATCATTAAAAACACTTTATGTATCTGTTAAAATAATTACCATCCGTGGTACCAATTGAGGGCTCCGGATCGAAGAACCGACGCTTCGGAATGTTCTGTGCGTTTACAAGCGTCGGTTCTTCGATCCGAGACCTCAATTGGTTTAGAAAGTTGACCCACTTGTTAAGAAATACAAAATTTTAATTAATTACTTTTACGATTCATAATGGTTTTAATATTTTATGTAAAAAAATAAAACACATCTCAGGAATATGGTTTCAGAATAAATATATGTACAGGGCTTTAGGCTTTGATGTAATGTGAATAACACTTTAGACTTTGACGCAATATGAATGACACTTTGGGTTTTATGTAATATATTTGAATCGACAATAGAAGGCGGGAAAATTTGAAAGAAGAAATTAAAAATTACTAAATTCAATTATTTTCAAAATAAATAAAATTATTTTCAAAATTACTAAAATTCTTCGCAAAAATTCAATTATTTTCAAAAATAATAGTATTCATCACAAGAATTCAATTATTTTCAAAATTAATAAAATTCTTCTCACAGAAATTCAATTATCTTTATAAATAAGCAAAATTCTTCGCTGAAATTCAATTATTTTCAAAATTAATAAAATTCTTTGCAAATATTCAATTATTTTCAAAAAATCTAAAAATAAATTGTCCTCAACATTTCAATTATCTTTATAAATTAATAGCGAAATTCTTCGACTTTCAATTATATTTTCAGGAATTATAATAAAATTCATTGCAAAATTCAATTATTTTCAAAAATATTCAACACAAGAATTCAATTATTTTCAAAATTAATAAAATTGTTCGCAGAATTTCAATCATTTTCAAAATTAAAAAAAAAATTTTCCTCAACATTTCAATTATCTTTATAAATAGCAAAATTCTTTGCTGAAATTCAATTATTT